TGTCAGCCGAGCTATGAAAGATTTTTCTAAGGTTTGTTTTCCTTTACTCTAATTATATTGTACGGAAGAAACATATATTCATATATATGAATTCTATTCTTTCGGAAGAAACATTACAATAAATTCTCGGTCAATTTTCTTTCTTGTTAGAACTATGAAAACTTACTAAATTTTCTAGCATTGAAATCATGTAAAATAATCGCAATAAAATTAAAAGCAATTATTATGCTTTGGTAATTTCCTAAAGAACGATTTTTGGAGCCCTCCCCTGTTTCATTCTACAGGGTTAGTAATTAAGAACTATGGAGCAGGAGTGTTTTTTACAGAAATGTAATGTTGAAAAGGTTCTCACAAGAAAAATATGAGGAAGGCAAGAAACAGGAAAAGGGGAAAGATACCAGAGGATAATATACTGACAACGAGAAGTTATGCCAGAAAAAGGAATACCTGGACAGGAAACAGGAAAGTGGTTAAGATACCAGAGAATATTATACTGCTAAGGAAAAGTTATGGTTACAAGCATACTCTCCAGACAAGAGGAGCCTGGTAGAATTTAAGGATGAAATGCTCAAGGGACTGTGCGATGCAGAGTTAAAGAAAACATGCCTGTTTTTCATGCCTAAGGAACCAAAACAGGAAAGCGAGATTAGCCAGTACTAGACCGACAGTTATCTCCTGATAGACATGAGTTAAAAAAACTACATATATAGATAGCTGTGAGATGATAGAAAACAGCAAGAGAGGGGATAAAATGTGGGAAACAAGAAACAACAACACAACTAGTTCTGAGACGGTAGAAAATAGCATGAGTGTTGTTGAAATGGGAGAAGCAGGAAATATTAACAAGGAAACAGTTTTCTGCGATAATTCAAGGAAGAAGAACAGATAATAAAGGATTGCGGACATGAAGGGCAGGAATGGTATGAGAATTTAAAGAAACATTTCCTAAAATGAAAAAAGGAGAATCCAAACTGGACAGCAGGAAACAGGAACAGGGAACCAGTTGTTTCACCAGATACGGCGGGTTTAGCAGAAAACAGTTCTAACAATGTATGTCCGAAAATCCTGGAATTGAATGAGGTTAACCAAGCAGTAAAAAAGGATGCTATAAACAGCATGAATCGAGAGAAACATCAAGCTCAAGAGATACGGGGAAAAAAAGATAAAAGAAGAGAAATTGAAGAACTAAGGATGTTAGAAAAGGAGAGAAAATCCACAAGAAAATGAAGATTTATAAAAAAGGAAGAAAAGTTGCAAAACCAAGGAGGGTAGCAAAGGAGAGAAAAATCAACAAGAGAATGAAGACTGAGAGAAAAGGAAAATCAAGGCAGTTCAAAGTAAAGATATGGAAAACAATCAATGGAAATGATTTGCTGAGTTATTTGAGAAACCCAACCTGTTCAGCTGTTTTATCAGGAGACGGAATAAGCAAAATTCAAAGTAGTCCAAATGAAACGACAGATTTGTATGTAAGTTCCACAGCTGTATCCAGGAAAAATTCGGAGTTAGACAAGCACAGCAAAGACGGAGAATCAACCAGAAAGTTCAGAGAGACAACCAGCGGATAAGAAGGGATTAAGAGCAAGTCTTCCAGTTTAAGAAAACAGGTTCCAATCCTTCTACCCTCACAGCTCTGGCTGAGAACAATGTTGACACAAATGATGACGTAGAAAGGAATTACAGAGACAAGGAAAATACAGCTGGAACAGAAGTAAAGAAAACTAACAGAATTATAGAAGAATCAAAGAGGAAAAAGATCAATGAATCAGATCAAACAAGACCAAACCTGAATAAAGTCTCAGAGACAGATGTCAAGAAACATCAACAAAGAAGTGGGAAAAGTGCTCAGAAAAAGGCTCAAGAAAACATGGAGCATCTAGGGTTGTTAATCGTTTTTGTAAACGATCGTTAAACGATCGTTTTTTGTTTCGTTTTCAAAAACGATAGTTTCGTTTTCGGAAAAAAACGATCGTTTTTAAAAACGACCCACTCGTTTTGAACTTTAAGAAAACGAATAGCGATCGTTTTTGAAAACGATCATTTTTATTAAAACGATTTTCAACCGTTTTTTATACGATTGTTTTTCAAAAAACGATCGTTTTTGAAAAAAAAATTATTGACAATTATGTTAACGATCGTTAACGAAGTGTCGTCGTTAACGATCGTTAACGAAACGACGAATTTTATCAAAACGGTCCTTTTTGGAAAAAAATACATGCAACTTTATCGAATTTCGTCTTACATGAAGTTTAACAGTTGTGAGAGAGTTAAAACTCCTTGATATTTTCTTAAAAATTACTCAATGATATGTACAGATGCCCTTCAGGTCAGTTTCCTCTCGTCGTTAACGATCGTTAACGAAGGTTGTCGTTAACGATCGTTAACGAAGGGTCGTCGTTAACGATCGTTAACGAAACGACGAATTTTATAAAAACGATCGTTTTGAAAAACGATCGTTTTGAAAAACGAGCATTTTGAAAAACGATCGTTTTAAAAACGACCATTTTTAAAAAACGGACTTTTTAAAAAAAAACAATCGTTTTTATAACGATCGTTTCGTTTTCGATTTTTCGTCGTCGTTTTCATAACGAAACGATCGTTTTTCTGAAAAATGAAAACGTTAACATCCCTAGGAGCATCTAGGCTAGCGCAAGAAAAATACCTTTTTGGTTTGAATGACAGTTTTAGCAGAGATCCAGCAGGGATCAATTACGAGAAATATTAGCAAGGAAAGAAAAATATTGCGTTTGTTCTGCAAAAATTGCACAAAAGTTTTGCGAGTAGAAACCCTACATGGAATGCACTGAGACAGATACAACAATTGGAGCAACAACCTAGAGAGTCAAGATGTAGACATAAAAAAGGGTACAGCAAGAAGATATACAGAAATAAGATGCACAGCAAGAAGATGTACAGAAAGATATTGTATGACAAGAACAAAAGTGCCATGATGTTCCCAAGCATGAAGCAGAAGTGCCTAACTGAGTATGGAAAGAAGTGCCAGACTCAATACGGACAGCAGTAGAACACCAACTTTAAGGAAAAGAATACCATCAAAGCTACGAAGGATTTTAGAACTGGATACAAGAAGAAGTATTCTAAGAAACAGGAACAGGACTGCGGCAAGATACAAGCAAACCAGTTGGAGACCATGAACGGCAAACAGTGTCAGGTGGTGATAAAGAGCAAGTGCTATGATAACCCCAAGAAGGAGTGCAATAGCATGCAGAAGTCCGTGAAGAAGATCACCCATGAGAAGGACAGCGACAGCGGGACTGATCACCAGTACAAGGTTGAAAATGTCCAGCAATGTAGACAGGTTCCTGGGCTCTTCTCTTGTTAAAGGAATCTGAACAAGAGAAGGTTAGAGAATGCAACCCTGTAAACAATCCTGTCTGCAATAATCACTATGTGGTTCAAGGATGTACCCAAAGAAAAAGGTTGGGATGAACCTAGACAGCTCTGTAAACAGGTTCCCAAGGAAAAGACTATTTCCAAGATGGTGTGCCAGGATGTTCTAAAGGAAAAATGTTGGGATGAGTCTAGACAATAATGCCATGATGTGCCAAGAGAAGAGTGCCATGATTTTATCAGGGAGTATACTGACTATATCTCTGTTCAAAAATGCAACTCTGTTAATGTTCCTGTATGCTGCCCTGTATCCAGTGAATCCTGCTGTGATGTTCCAGAACAGATTTCTAAACTGGTTCCCAGACTAAAATGCTACAGTAAATCAAGAAAGGTCTGTCATCAGATTCCAAATGAGGTCTACAACAGTGTACCTAAAGAAAAGGGGAAAATGTTCTAAACGCTCCTGCCTTTTTAGGGTTGAAGTCAAAGAAAACATTAGAGTATGCAGGAGTTTAAATGGCTATGGGGGCTAAGCCCCCCCCCCCTTGGACCAGTGAAATCAATTGATTTCAGGGTTTTTTCAGGCCCCAACGGGTGCTGAGCCCCCTGGAAAGAAAAAAAAATTAATCCCCCCCTGGAAAAATTTTTGAATACGCCCCTGAACCTAACCCTCTGTAGGTAACCCTGTATTAATTCATAAAAAAGTTAAAGTTTTATGTTTTAATTCAATTTTTAAAAACATTTGAAATAAATTCTAAGTTTCTTTGTTGAAATTGAATAAATATTATTTGTTTTCCTTTTAAGATAAGACATTTCAATACAAATATAATATTCAAACACTAATCTGTTTGTTTCAAGGAGAAATCATAAATATTCAAAAATTGTTTTTGATTGATAAAATAAAAATGATTATCACAATGAAAACAAAGATTTTAATTACAAACTTAAGTGATTAAAATTATCAAATTTTAACAATAAGCATTTTGATCAAACGCATCATAATGATCAGACTGATTGTAAGCATAAAAATGATCACAATGATCGCATGAAAACAATATCAAAATTATCACAGTGAATTCAATAATATCAAAACGATCACAATGATTACAATGAATGCAATATCAAAATTATCACAATGATCAATATGATAATAATGATAATAATAAATACAATATCAAAATGATTGATCAATTATTATACTGATATATAGATCGCTAATGCAGACTGTAAAGCTGAAAATTGTACAACACCCTGATCATGAACTCGTCATTTGAAAAGGTCATTGAATACATCAAAATAATCACAATGATCAAAATAATAATAATGATTACAAGGAATACATTATCAAAATAATAATAATGATCAAAATAATAATATTTACAATGATCAGAACAATAAGAATAAATTACAAAGATGTCCATAAATAAAAACAAACATTGTAAACTCATGAACCTTAACTGTAACAAAACACAATTATAACATTGATAGAAAATAGAAAATATCTGACTTTTTTATTTGCATAAAAAATAATATTTTATAGGAGATAACTTACAGATATAAAGTCTGCACTGCCTTTTTTTACAGTTTCCCTCGAAAAGATAAAAAATCGTTATAAAATACATATTTTTTTAACGTTTTAGACATTCTCAACATAAACCTGTAAACCTCTATAGTCCAGATTTTTAATTAAAAATGTTTAAATTTCTGGTTTTAGCTGCACTTTGTGTGTCTGTCACTTTAGGTAAGCCATTGATGTTATGAAATTAATTTTAACGTAAAAACTTAAAAATTTAGAGTATTTAGAATTTTCTAGATAATAGTGATTCAATTTCACAATTATTAAAATTATAAACTTTAGACCGTATTAATCTACTCCAACGGAAACAAATTCAAAACACATTTTACATCCGTCTTTGAGTCTTTGTCGTCACAGCAAAACTATGATTTTCTAATTCAGCTTTTCAACCCAATTTTGTATTATGTGTCAAATAATCTAAGATGATTAAATTCTTTGCATTAAAAAAAAGTTCCAGAGGCCGAATTTAAAGGATTTGTGCCGCGGCTTAAATTTGAGACGCGGCTCAAACATGGTTGCAGGTCCCTATTACAATTGTATTCAATATTTCAAGATTTAAGCCGGCGCTCAATTGAAACCAATTTTTGGCGGATTTGAGACGCGGATCGAATTTATTAAACTCGGGATCAGAAAAATTTTAGCTAAATAAAAAAAATGAAAATTGATTTTTCTTAACAGGACAAGTAACAAGTGATGTCGGTCCAAGATGTGAAGGGGTAAGCCTAACATAACAATTCCTTAACTTTTTTTTCTTTTAAAAATCAATGCTATTTTTTTTGAGTCGTTTAACTTTTTAAATTTTTTTTTAATGATTATAGGATTCGGTACATAAAGATTACAGATGTGTACAACTTCATTTTTGTACATATTTTAATATTTGACTATTGTACCCAGGAGTTAATATTGTACTGATTAAAATCCAACATTTTATTCAATTAAACTTTTTTTTTAACTTTAAATATTGATTTCTCGATTTAACTTTTCAATCGAATACATTTTACTTTTAAAGTGTTTACCTCTTAAAGGGACTGTAAGCATTATTTCAATTGACCTTCCATGCAAAGAGGTCAAAGCCAGATTTACAACGATACCCTTTCATAGATCTTGGGCTTTTTATAATAATATTTAAGAGATAAAAACACCGAGATCATTGTCCTGGATGATTAGACCAATGTTAAAAAGGCACCATTGTGAATTTGACATGAAGGGTCACTTAAAATTACGCTTACAGTCCCTTTAAACGTTTCCTTAGTTATTAATAATGTTTATAGTTTGAATGCCCAAATGATGACGCCGAGGGTGGATTATTCACAAAGTAAGGATTTTATTTTTATAGTTTGAAATTATATTTTTTAACACTTTTTTTATTTCAGCGGTGTATGCACTGGAGAATTTTGTGATTGCAGCTACGGGATACCCTATCTTATTAACTTCGAGGTTATTATTATTATTATTATTATCATTACTATTATTTTCATTATCAATATTATTATATAAATTATTTATGTATTAGGAAGGACTAGTGTTTAATGAGGATCTGCAGGTCTGTGATTGGCCCTTCAATGTTGAAGGCTGCGAAGAAAAAAATTAATTAAGCTCGCTTTAATCATTGAAATATGAAAATAAAATATTTAATCTTTTAATTATGTTCTATAAATGAGAGCTTCGTTTCGGGGTTCAAACAACACAATAATGTTACAAAGCAGTTAAAACTCGACCCGCAATAGTTTGTGCTTCTTTTCTAACTATTTTGATTGCCGTGTCACGTCAATTTATAAAGTAATTAACAAGTTAGATTTAAATCCTATATGTTTCAATGATAATTAACACCACTTAGAGAAGAGCTATAATTAAAAACAAACATGGCTTGAGTTATTTGTTATTGCCCTTCTCCTTTATATACTTGTACGCATTATCAAAACTAGAAAAGCTACAAGGTAACAAAGTCGTACTAGTAATGTCTTCTATCCAGTTTAGTGTTGTGTGAAGTATCATAAATGGATCATAGTCCACGATTACATCCTTCATTATATACATATATATATATATATACTATAAATTATATGAAAACATACCAATTAATTTAGTTTACACTCATCAGTTTTGGATTTATTATCTGGATATAATGGATTAAATGGCCCAAGCTGAAAACTTTAGAATGAGATATCCTTAATCCCGATTACTTAATCTGAGTATCCAATGGACACACTTTTGATTTTCTTCTTAAACCGTTCTTTCTTTCTTAGTATTGAAAAATCAAAAACCGTTTTTTTAAAATTAGAGAGTCCCTCCCGTTTCTGTATATAATCTTAAATGGCGCGAAAAATTTAAAATTTCTCGGCTTTATATACGCGACTCTGATTGGTTGAATTTTATAAATTTTTCAGGATATATAAGTACAAAATTAAGTTAGTCTCGAGATTAAGAAAAAGAGAGGATCAAGCATTAATCTCGATATCCACCATTCTTAAGTTTTCAGCTCTAGTTAATCTAAATTATGTTGCTAGTTTAAAGAGAGTGTTAACTTCGTAGATTGGCATATCCAATTCACATCGGTACCCTTTAAACTGTAGTTTGCTCCAGGATGAAGCATTGATGACGTAGTTTTTAACAGCTAAGCACATGTGTATGCAAAGAGACCTTAAAACTGTGGTATAGGAAGACAATATTTATATTCAATATTATATTTATTGAATGTTTTCAAATAGTTTCACCATGTAGTTGGAAATAAACTTTTTAAGTAAAATGAGTCATAACATTTGTGTGTAATTAAAGTCCTTAATTTTTCTACAGGTTTATGGGTCTCACTGTGTAGTCCATTTACATTTTGAAAAAATGTAAACATCCCTTTTCTGAGAGCCCTAGAAAATTCACATTTTCAATATTCACACTTGAAGTATCAACTGTCAACAACATTAATTCCATCCTGAAGTCACAAATAGCATTTATTCAGAGCAGGACTGACCAAAGCTGATAATATATTTTTCTTCCCATATCACATCCTAGAGATAATGTGAAATTAATTTTATTATAATCGGGTAACAATTTAGCCTCCGAGAGAAAAAAGCGTGAAATTGTGGAAGACAATGCCTGGCCGTGTTAAACTAGTTCCACAAGATTCAACAGAATGAGATAGAACGGATACGGGGCATGGTACTGATATCATCATCTACAGTCTACACGTGCGATATCGATATTGACTCTAGTTCTGAACCCTCTAGTAATAAGTTATAAGAAATATATATACTGGAAGTTATTTATGCGTTTTTATTAGAGTCTGACTCGACTCCTCTATAAAATGTTTATTTTACATTAATTTGTATTTTTGTCGTCGATATCAACTAAATATCTAAAGGATGTCGCTGTGAATTAGACATGTCACTATACAGATTAAGGCCCACTGGAAGTACTTGTCTATAAAGATTCTTTAAACTGATTTAATTGGGGTTCAATTAAAAACTGAGTTTTATGGTATATTTTTATTTTTTTTAATTATTATTTTATGCAAGAAATTGAGTCTTTGCCACAAACTTTGATTTCACAATCCCTATATCTTTGCAACCCTATGTCGTAGACCTTAGACATTTCAAACTATGAAATCTTTTAGATCCAATAATCTAAGTTTGAAATATCAAAGGTTTACACAATTAGGTTTTATAGATATAGGGATAAGAAAATTTGAGTTGTGTCAAAAACTTAATTCTTTTCATGTAAACGATTAAGAAACATTTATTCTTGAAAACAATTATATTTTAAACAATATATTTGTAATAAACATAAAAAACCCAACAGTGAGTTAAAACAAACAAACAGAGTTTTTATTTTTCTTCTGCCAGAGGTTCTCCTGTATCAAGCCGTCGTTCTATTTTTATACAGGATTTACAATTACTCGCCTGAAAAAAAAATTAAAACTAAGAAGTAAAAGAGACTGTCTAGTGTCTACGCTCGTTAAGTGAGAAAACGAGCGAAAAAGATGGAAAATAAACGATAATTTTGAGAACGAACGAACGATTGAAAAAAAACCCAAATGGGTCGGGATTAAAATAGTTGAATTTAAACCTCAAACAAACAAACAAAAGTTAAAATCATTTAAAAACATATTTTCCGAAATGATAGAGGTCAGATATATAAATTTATTCAGTTCAAGTTCCATCAAAATGAGGGATTTTTAATGAAAATCTACGAAATGTTTAAGAAACCTGCTTTGAACGTCAAAAATGTTAGACACTTTTTATACCCAGGATAAAAAAATTGTACATAAAAATGTGTGAGAAAAATTCTCTCGAAATTCATAAAGCGTCTTTTTATAACAAAACGTTTGACAAGGGAACTACAGTGATTCAAGTGCATTATACCTGCTCTATAATTTTCATACTGTTTTTAACCCTCTCCAGAAACCTAGGTCTATCAATCAACCCGGATTCAAATTCAGTTCTAAACATTCGTTAAGTATAATGAGTACAGACTCTATGAGGCAAAACGGAATAGTAAAACCAAATTAATCATCCCATTTCTAGAGAAATGCATGTGTTTGGAGCTGTAAAAGCAACGAGAATATAGTGTACAGAGTGATGACTGATGATGTGCCCTAATCCTTTACTAACTTTATAAACTATACCGAGAGCGTACTGCACATTTGTTTATTATAACTTGATTCTGGCCTAACCTAAAGTATACCAGTATTAGTAAACAGTTGTAAGTGTACAGTATAACAACTAACTGAGCACACAGGTAAAGACCCATAGATTTAATGACCAGAATATTTCATTGATTTTTTATTTGAAAGATGGATCCCATCTCAGGCTTCGAGATCCGTCTTGTGTTTTACATTACCGCCCAGTGACAGTACACTGCAGTACAAAAGATGCGTACACCTCTAAAATAACTTTTCTTGCATTAAATCCTTGGGTTGTACAAGGTTCATGCAATGCAGTGTACAGCGTACAAAAAAGGTCAGTAACACATTCATCTCAGTAAAACGGAGAATTCATTTGATGTACCGTCCTGTTTTGCCGTTTATATTAACATGTATATTGTGAAACTTGCTCTAGTTGCCTGAATGTAGGTCAGAACTTCACCGGCTAGTCTTATTGAGTGTCTGCTTTTTTTACCCGATGTCCGGGCGGTACAGTATAAACTGGGACTGGAAAGATTGACCCGGCTCGGAAATTCAAATGTACTTTGGCTGCCCGTGTAATATGCAAAAAATATCTTCTTAAAATATAATTTATTTAGCAGAATACAAAGGTCGTCTTTTATAAAGATAATATTTTGTGAATTTGTTCAAAAAGAATATCTTATATTTAAATTATTAGTAAACAGAAAAACACATAATAGTGTCCAAATATCAATATAAATATTGAGACATTGCAATCGATCTTTAAAGGTATAATAAGAAACAACTCATCTTGTTTAAAAGGATTTCATGAATTTGATCCACAGAAAACCGGTTTTAATTGAGCGCCGGCTTAAATCTTGAAAAATTGAATACAATTTTAAGTGGATCCAACCATATTTGAGCCCCGGCTTAAATATTAGACGAAGCTCAAATTTTTTAATTCGGCCTCGGAACTCAAGATATGATAAGTGCATAATGAGTCAATATGAACTAAAATCCTCTTAAAATAGCCAAACCAAACCATCATTTTTAACCACGGTAGAAATTTAACCATGGGAAAACAAATGTCTTAAAGGGAGTTTTCGCGAAAAATGAAAGGGGGTTTAGGTTGATGTCGGATGGAATTCGATATCAATCAATGCTTATTTTACTTTTATCTTCTGCGGAGAAAATGATTAAAAACGTCTTATACCTAGAGCTTAGCGTCCATACAATTCACATCAAAATCTGAATGATTAATTTTAAAGCGATCGATAAAGAATTCAATCCGACATTGACCTACATCCCCTTTCATATTTCGCAAACACTCCCTTTAAGTTCCCATCTCTGGCTCATTTATAAACATGAAATTATCTTAGATCTTGAAAACTGTCAAAAAATATATTGAACAATTTTAATTACAAATTTGAAAAATTATTTTGATATCTCCGTCAATTTTGAAACATTTTGGAAATTCCAAGACTAAACGTTTATGTTAAAAGCTTGTTAAATAAAAAAACTGCCGGTAGATACAGGGTGTCCCACGAAACATGACAGTTGGTGAATAATTTAAAATGTCTTCTTCCATGATATGTCAAGTTGTTTGTTACCAAAGAGAATAATAATAAATGTTTTATGGCATCCATATTATAGTAAAATTATAATAATAAATGTTTTATGGCATCCATATTATAGTAAAATTGATTTCCAAATAAAATATATTTGAGTGAAGTTTTTAAACTATAAATAAACTGCAAAAAGTCTTTAATATTCAATACAGTTTATGGAAGAAGACATTCAAAACTATTCACCAACTGCCATGTTTCGTGGGACACCCTGTAGAGTGAAATGCAAGTCGACCTTGCTCATTTGGTTTTATGATGCAATATCGCATATTAGTTTGAAAAATGGTTTTTGATTATTCCTAAATTTGTTTCAAAATATATCAGATGCAATTTTATTTTAAACATTCTTAACATCATTTAGAAATAAATAAACTATAAAAAAACAGAGAACGAATAAATGGCGACTTTCAGTGGAACATGTAACAGCTAGAATGGTTAAAAGAAACGGGGTGCAAACTATTCATACACAGTTTAACTATTGGTACCTTGTTAAATTCATCTCACAGGCTCCCAAATCCTTCAAGGTCTCTGCTTTCCATAAAGGAAATCCAGGATCCACCAAACCTTTATTTCAATTTTTATAATTTATTTTTAAAAAACGATTCCAACAAAAATTTTTGGTTGCAAGGATACGGGGATACAATAGTAAAAACAATAAAAAATTCGACCGCGAATTTTTAATAAAAGATACAAAATACCAAAATATTAGCGGCATTGCTACTGGATTATAAACAAAGACGACAATGAATCCAGATTTCTAATTCATATAACAGTTGCAGATTTTTTTAGGTCTACTTTTTTTGACAGAAAACAATAATAAACTTTAAAAAAATACACGGAAACAAAGAGAAGCTGTCAATTAAAAAAGCTTCTCTATAATTACTTGTAAAGTTATAATTCGGAAAAAATAAAAAGTCGTCTTCATTATATTACTTTCATCGCCTACCACCGTAGAAAGGAATTGAGTCTTTGTAACAAACTCTGGTTTTCAAATCCCATATCTTTTCAACCCAGTGCTGTAGACCTTTAATATTTCAAACTATGAAATATGTTAGATTAAATAATCCAAGTTTGAAATATGAAAGGTTTACGCCAACCGGTTGCAGAGATATAGAGATTAGAAAATATTCCATTTCTAATCGAATTCAAGCTTAATAGAAAACGAGAAATTTAGGTAAAGTTAAGTAATAAGCATAATTTATGTGTAAAAAATAATCAAAATCAGAATAAATGACAAGTTTTAATCGCAAATTTTCGGCTCAGTGTCCCTCCCCCGCCCCTTTACTGACACACCCAGTTACAACCCTGAAATAATCTGTAATTTTAAATATCTTCTCATTTGTTTTTTAATAGATATTTAATATCATTAAATATTATTTGTTTTGAAGATAGAAAAAGTTTATTTTAACCCCACCTAGAACTCTGATATATTTTAACCCCACCTAGAACTCTGATATATTTTAACCATATATATATATATATATATATATTATATATAATATATACTAGGCACCTGATAATATTCCGTTTGAGTAACATGAGTAAATGATGATTGGGATGAAGATAATTGTTCAACATTTCTATCAAAAAATAATTTGAAAAAAACATTTGTACACCGCTTTTCGATCCTTTCTGCTAATATATGCGGAATTTAGATATACAATATAGTCTAATTAGGAAAAAAAGATATATAACATCCCGCGTTTGAACTGTAAAAAAAATTTTGGTGTTCATTCCAATAAGGAGATAAAACTGATCCTTAGAACACTTTTGTATTTTTTGAAGATCGCTTAGTATTGGAGATTCTTTGAGACCCTTTATATCTTCATTATTTTTAAATTCTCATTTTTAATGTTCAAATTTCCTAGATCTTGCTCAAGTCCAGCAATAGTTCGAGATCTTTCCTCTCCATACAGATAGTTCTTTATTCCCTTAATCAAAAATATTTCATATTTCTTATACAGTTAAACCCTAAATGAGCCATACATCGGAAGAATTTATGAAATGCCGTCTTTACAAATTTTCAATGGGTTCTATACTATTTCACGTAAATTTCAGAATTTGCGAAAATAGGTAAATAACCATGAATATGCTGGAACAGTTTTAAAGAGCTCCATATAATCATTTAATTAAAAAACTAAGTATCTCCAACATTCCAATATCAGAAGGTGAAGAATACGACATTTGATGAAATCTTTCGATGTATTCAATATATAATGGTTTAACTGTACTTTCAAAGTTCTAATCTTCATATCTATTAAACATGGTTTCGTAGACCTTTAATTAAATAAAAAATAAAAATAATAGATTATAAAATTAGATAGGAGAGTGTTTAGAGTTCTTTACAACGTCTAATAAAAGACATTTATAAGTTCTTTACAACGTCTAATAAAAGATGTTTATAAGTTCTTTACAACGTCTAATAAAAGACGTTTATAAGTTCTTTACAACGTCTAATAACAGATGTTTATAAGTTCTTTATAACGTCTAATAAAAGACGTTTCTAAGTTCTTTACAACGTCTAATAAAAGATGTTTATAAGTTCTTTACAACGTCTAATAAAAGACGTTTCTAAGTTCTTTACAACTTCTAATAAAAGACGCTTATAAGTTCTTTACAACGTCTAATAAAAGAGGTTTATAAGTGTTTTTTTTCCAAATTTCATTTTAAGTGACCTTAGATTTAAACCGAAGGTAACGATTAACAACGGTACCATTGAATACATAATTTGATGAATAATGTGGAAGAAACGTACTTTCTTCTGGCTTGAAAAATATTTAATTCTGATAATTTCTCCATTGTTTCCACAGCAAGGAATGCGCAGGTCACCTTTACGGAGAAACCCCCAAATCAAAGCAAAAAGTTTTTAAAAACAAAAACACGGATAACATATAAATAATTCACATTTGATCAGATAAAGCTACCGTTGTGAATCAGACATGCCACTTCAATGGAAGGTCACTTGAAATTACGTTTACAGTCCCTATCAATGGAAGGTCACTTGAAATTACGTTTACAATCCCTTTACAATCCCTATCAATGGAAGGTCACTTGAAATTACGTTTACAATCCCTATCTATGGAAGGTCACTTGAAATTATGTGTAAAATTCCTATCAATGAAAGGTTACAATCCCTTGCTTCTAACAAAATAAAAGTCAGAAAGTTCAGGTAATTGTCTTTCTAAAGCAACCCTCTTTACGAATTATATGTTTACAAAAGTTCTACAGGTTTATGGACGAATGTTCTCCGATTAGACTCAAACTTGGAAATGTAATGCTTCAAGTTTTCACATTGTCCTCAGAGAAAACTAAATTGAGAAGAACACCTTCTAATACACAGGGTGTCCCACAACATATTGGAATTGATAAAGATTAAAGTCTAGCAAGCTTTCGGCGTGTACTGCAGTAATTTGGACAAATTAATTAGTTCAAGTGGCGAATAAATTGGAATTTTTAAACGCCAAAACGTCAATAAACGTCTAAACGGCTAAACAGATCGTGCTTAAATTTTGTGTGGGATCTTGCATGACCCCAGGGAATTTTTTATGAATTCTCAGAATTACAAAAAGTTGCATTTTGGATGTAACTTTTGATATTTGTGAAATTTTTAAAATGCAAGAAAAAATATTTTAAAATCAGCAAACTATTTTTGTTATTGTTTTATAATGTACAAAGAAAAGATTCTCACAGAGAAAGCCACAATAAAAAGATTAAATAGAGTATGGGCGTGAAGCGTCCTAAAAGCCTCATGACAGATTTTTTTTTGAAAATTTAATCATTTAAAAATTTGTTTAAATTGAAATTTAAAAGTTTTTAATAGCTAGGAGATAATCCAACATGATATGGGACTCTTTTATTCTGTAAACAGCAGATCCTGTTCAGCTGGCGTTTAAATTAAATTATAATAAAGAATGCTTCCATGGAAAAAAAACAGTAGTTGATGACAAAGCCAAAATCATAAAATAATTTTCCTTTTTTTATCTTGTTATCTTGTAAAATGGTTATTTACACAGAAATTGCATATTTGCCACAAACTTTGATTTTCTAATCCCTTTATCTTTGTAACCTAATGTCATAGGCGTTAGATATTTCAAAATAAGAATTCTGTTAGATCAAATAGTCTAAGTTTGAATTATCAAAGGTTTACACCATCAAGTTGCAAAGATATGAGGATTAGTAAATTTGAGTTTGTGACAAAGACTAATACCTTTGTAACTTTGAAAATAGTTTTAACAAAAAAATTCGTGAGAGAGTTTCATATAATTTAGGTCATCTTCTAATAAACAACCTGTATCAACTGCTTGTATTTAAACAGCCTGTATCAGCTGTTTGTATTTAAACAACCTGTATCAGCTGCTTGTGTGCCAAGGAGGAGATCTTGAAACTATGAACAGAACAAACCCAATCCGATTCTAAATATTGAAAAATAAAATTGATGTTTTCAATATTTTTTCATTTATAGCATATTTTTGATGTTTTATGATGGTGTCTTTACTTTAATAAAAGCATAAGGAATGAGGATGACTTGACAAAAAAAAGTGTACTGCTAAAACGAAACATAAAAATCTGAATTGTCGTCTCAAAATTCTTCCTTTGAACGAGAGATTTGACCAATGTGATAAATTTGTCAATCTCCCAGTCATCCCGACAAATTCATCAAGGAATCTCATTTAGAAGACAACAAGTTTCTCTATGAAATTCATGAGCTATGTTAATTAAACTACTGTGGTCTGAATCGTGATGGATTGTTTTCACAATTGAGAGACGATCGTTACTTTTAAAAACTAAGAAGATAAAACGAAAAAAGGAACGATCGTTTTTCGTTTAAAAAACGATCGTTTTCAAAATCGATCATTTTAAAAAAAGATCATTTTATAAAAAGATCATTTTCTAAAACGTTAGTTTTCAAAAACGACCCTTTATTAAACGACGACCCTTCGTTAACAATAGTTAACGACCTTTTAAAGAGAAAAAATTTTGTTGGTCCAAAAATCCGAGGTCAGAAAACATTCAGAAATTATTTGTCTCGATAAAAAAAAAATTCAAGACTACATTCATAACCTTATTTTCCTGACAAAAATTGAAATTAATTTTCATAAAAATTTATCGTTCAACTTAATACTTGATCTTCAAAACGAAGGTTTCTTTTTCAAAAACGACCAAATTTTTCAAAAAACGAAAAGACGTTTAAAAAAAACAAAAATAAAAAAAACCCGAAAAACTATCGTTTTTTCGATCGTGTTAAAACGATTTACAATCCTTTCCGTGTGAACTACTAATAGGTAAAACAATTGCTTATTTGAGTAGAATTTATGACATATATATATAAACTAAAAATTTCAAACAAACAGAAGAAAAAATAGAGACGACTAAGCCTAACATTGTTTATTGTTTGAAGTTAAACTACTGGAAATGAAATCATGCCTGTAATGAAAGTAGAGTCTGAGTTACTTGGTGAGGAAACAGTTAAGAAGGGTTTAACATTTCCGTTTATTAAAAAGTTTTCTGTTTTTATCTTTTACCTGGGTTTAGTGGGTTTTCTGGAACAAGTACTCCACTTTCACATTTCCCACAGATCAAAGAGCTGAAAAAAAGAAAAAAAAACATTTAAAATATATTTATTTGGAATATAAAAAACTATCCTTATATGAAAACTATAATTCAATTGATTAGGGCTGGGCAACGTTCTGTTTCTGAATTGTAAGTTTTGAAGTATTAACGGAAAAGTCCATTTACAAACGGCAATACAGTTAATTTTGAAATATTTAACGATCGGAAATAGCCGTTTTTTCATAGTTTAAATTTAAGGTCTAATTGTTATAGTTTACTAGCCAGGGAACCCAGCTTTGCCTGCAGTTTTTCCACTGAATTGAGAATTTTAAAAAAATAAGAACATTCCCGTTTCTCTCAAGTTTTGAGACAAATCGGTCAAGATTTTAAATAAACTTACTCATTGTGTCCAGGCAGATGAGAGTTTATGTATTCTCACCAGTGCTAAACAGAGTAGACTTTCTCAATTCTGATCTGAGAGGCACTGGTGTTGTGAGAATGTATATTTAAAACATTGTGAGTTATGATTGGACAGACAAACAGACAAACAAAGATTACTACTTATAATGTTGATATAAAAATGTTTACAACTTTTCTTTAGTTTGAGTAAATGTACATTCTAGTTGTTTTCAGTAAACTTGTTATATTTCCAAACACCCTAAAATAGAAAATATATGTAGTTAGAATGTGATTAATTAGTTACGAGCTAACTTGTTATATTTCCAAACACTCTAAAATAGAAAATATATGTAGTTAGAATGTGATTAATTAGTTACGAGCTAACTTGTTATATTTAATTGCTTTTGTTTATAAATTTTAAGAAAAGCTCTTTGATTTAACTTATTTAAAAAAAATTAAGTATCTACACCCTAAATAAATAAATCTTAATAATATAATTTTTAATCAAAAATACAATGAATTCAAGAAAATGGAGAAAAATATTACTTTGTTCAATGCTTATAAATTTTAAGAAAAGATTTAAAAAATAAATGTCTTCTACCTATTTCAAAATATGATTGATATTTTTTTTAGAAAATCGAAAGATTTCGATCCTATTTTATCTTATCACGGTAAAAGTTAATTAATTATGTATTTGTAAATATTGTTCAATGTTCAAAGTGGATTCAAACCTTAAAGAAACACAACTTATAGAAATCGCTAGGTAATGCAACAAGGCGTATTTTGCGGGTGAATATTTTTTTATATTTTAGAGAAATTAAATTTTCTTGTACAACATTGTATCTGAACAATATCATTATTTTGTTTGTTCTTTTAACACACCCTGGATATTAAAGGTGCGAAATAGTTTAATTATTATCAATGTTATTATCTTAATTTAGTACAGCAAACTTTCTCAGGGACCCTAACGGGCTCACAGCACTTACAGTACCTTGTTGTCACAAAACATACAAACAAGAAAAGGGACATTTCAGAAAATGCAGGCGGAACATTATGCATGTCAGGGACAACTTGTTTTTCTCAGAAATATACAGTACTTGCCAAAATAAACTGGTCAGTAAAGACAACTTTTTGTAAATATACAGTTCTCGCCAAAATAAAATGGTAAAAGATCACTATTTCTTTTTAAAAATACAGTGCTCTCTAAAATAAAATGGTGAAAGAAGACAACGTCTCATAGATATACAACACAGCAATGCCTTTTCCACAATCAAAATGTCGTCATTAATTTACCCTTTATTCTTGGTACCACTGCATTCTTTTGTCCTAAACATCGTCTTCATTTTCCAGTATATTCTGGGGACCACTGCGTTTTCTGCAAAATGTCGTCTTCATTTTCCACTTAATTTAGAGGACCACTGCATTTTTGTAAAAATGTCGTCTTCATTTAACACATTCATAAGTTCGTTGAAAGGAAACAGACTTTTACCCTGTTTTTTATTTCTAATGTTGTCTTCATAAACTAGATTAACATGTACATGTGTACTGGTCTGTTTAAGGTCCTCCCAGATTGTTTTATGTACTGACAACATAAATGAATTATTATATTATACCATTAAATAGAATTTCGTGTTACTATTTTAAAAACGATTACGCGAAAATGATATCTACAGTTTTATTTTTACAAGAAAATTTTTTTCTCAAAAATAAAAAAAGTTCTCCAGTGGTGATAATATGCTTTCATAAAATTCCATATTACCATTCAAATAAAAGATTTTTTGAAATTGATATCTACTTTACACTGATTATCTTTTTAAAAAGTTATAATTTCTCTAAAATAAAAAAAAATATTCTCCCGCAAAAAAACGCCTTGTTGCTATATCTAGCGTTTTCTATACGTTGTGCTTCTGAAAGGTTTGACTGCGTTCAAAGTTAAGGAAAATTAAAAAAGATATATTTGATAATATCGAATTCACTTTCTGAAAAATAACGTCTGTGTTTGTTGAATCTCATTGAACAATAATTGTTTTGTTTCCTGTAAATATATCGAGTATACTGCTGTACAAACAAATAGTTAACAATGTAAACATATAAATATATTATTGTTTACAAAAATATTATATTAGGAAGATATCATACTGCGTACTATACTCACCCAAATAGATTATCGAGTACAATATGTGGCAACAGAGAAATTAACCAATTAAAGGAAACATTTTTTTTCTCACATTAGTTGTACTGACCAAGGAATATAAAATGAACTTACATTGTATACCTTGGTACTTACTGACCAGTAATAAAGGACCATTCGTAAAAAAGCTGATGGGGATTAAAAGTGTGATAATTTCTAAATCTTAAAGGGAGTGTTTGCGAAAAATGATAGAGGCAGAAAATGGTTAAAAACCACTCATACTGAAGGACGTATCGTCCATGCAAATTCAGAAAGTTGCAACATTCAACTCGGATCGTAAAATAATCAATTTAATTCCAAATAAATCATTCAGATAATACAAACAATAGTTATTAATTATTTTTCGACGCATTTCATAATATTTTTCATCTTTTAAAACAATCCTGGAAAATAAGAAAATGTCGTCTTTATTATTAAAAATCCTCGAAACAGGAATAAATATGTTAGCCATAGTTGCTCAAACGGTTGGAACGAATTGTTTTTTTTTAAGGGGACACATAGTACCCCGGGGATTACATATATATGTTAAAGAAAATTTTGATTTTTTTTCAAAAACCATTTTTTTAAAGTTTTTTTATTTTACGGGCAACGGCGGGCACTTCAGCTAGTTAATCTACAACAACCTTAGAAAATAATAACGAGGAAATACCTTTAATTTTTCTCTCCTGAGAGCAGTCCCTTGAATAAACGTTACATAGTTTATCACAATTTCATCCCCCTCCTTGATATCTTCAACAAAACATTAAATATACGGAAAATACCTAAAATCTTAAAAACTTAAAGGGACTGTAAACGTAATTTGGCGTGCCCCTCATTTCTAGATTAGCATGTCAGATTCACATCAGTAACCTTTGAACCTTTACTTGAACAAAAATGATTGATTAATATTGCTTGTTTGTCAATTTGTGAATTGATAATTTTAGGTTCGCTTTTCTTAATAATGCAGAAAGTTGACATACATTTTTTTTCAAGATAAAAATATCATTTCCCCCCCTTGGTAAAAATGGCTTTACGGGAACGGACAATATGTATGAGGGTCACTTGAAATTACAAGAGAAAGGCTTATATCCTATTTTCATACAAAGATTGAATGGTAGAATTCTAATTGAAATTATTTATTCATAAAGGTTCATGAAATAGCAATTTAATTTGGTTGAGACAAACAAAATAAAATGTAAAATCTCTTGTACGACACAGTTTCATTTACTGATTTAAAATAAAATTTTAAAATTTTAATTTGTTGAAATTTTCCTGTTTGCGCCTGTACAGCTATCTTCCTAAAAAATGGTCTAAAATTAAAACTAAATAATGCTCGATTCAAATATATCAATAATTAAATTTCTAAAATATAAATATATTTATATATGGATAAACAGCTTTTTGTGTGAAATCAAAACTAGAGGAGCTCCGAGGTAACAAAATTGACCTTATCGTCCTTTCTGTTTGCCTTTCCCTTCCTGGTCCCATTGTTTTCCAGATATTCGTTTTTATACCTTTTATTAATGTAGATTGTATGTTTTGCATTCGCACAACACGAGTGGTTCATCAAACTAGAAACAAAATTTAAAAAAGTTTAATTAATTAAAAAAATAGATTATCCAATATTTAGGAATTACAACTGTGAGACCCATACAACTGTGGTTACGGTAAACTGGTATTTAATCAATCTTATAAAATCTTATATATTTGACGTTGTTATGAAGCGAATAGTTTATAATAAATTATAAAATCAACTTTTTACGAGATTTCTTTTTATACTGGCTAAATCTGTGTTCATGAGACTTTAAAAAATCATAATTTGAAACTAGCAGTCGTCTTCCTATTCCACAGTTTTTGGGGTCTTTCAGTTCTGTGTTGACAAGGCAATCTGTTTAAAAAATACTAAAAGTTGAGGAAAACCAACCTAAAATGAGGAAAACCAACCTAAAATGAGGAAAAAGAGCCCGGCTTTCCTCTTCACCAAACATCAGACAATTTGTTGCCAGAATTCCTAATCAATCAATCGATCAATCAATAAATCAATAAAATCAATCTATCAATAAATAAGAATTACATAGCTAATCAACTGACCAATTTACTTGACCAACTTTTTAATTAATCAAACCCCAACCAATCATACAACTTGACCAACTATTCAAATGTTAAATCATTAAACCTCCAACTTGACCAAATACAGAACCAACCAACCAACTAACTAACCAATTTAATTTACTATTTAATCTATCAATATCAACCAACCAACCAACTTATCAATCAAAATCAAGCAATATATCACAACAAATCTAGTGGGGAAGGTCAAATAGGCCTAAGATAGACCGGGTACTGTAAACCGTCTGGCCGCGCCATTAAAGTTGAAACCGAGTGGGCTGCAGGATATGGTCCGGCTGGTACTTACCTCGCGTCACAAAGCCAGTATTGGTTAAAAATTGACCCTAGTCCACAGTGATATTATTTATTCAGTTTTCTTGTTTACCTCTGATCCAGATAAAATCTTCCAGAGAGAATTGTTTGAGTTGATCAGTTCTTAGGAATATTTGAAGAAGATCTTTACTAGTGTTCTTCACTGATTCATCCTCCTTAAACCATCAGGAATATTTACGTACATTTTAATGGATTGTTAAAAAATTGATTTTACAATTAAATATTTTTGTGTCAAAAAGGTTATTATTTTTCCCTTAGAGTTAAGATGCGAGTGAGATACATATGCATCACTAGTCCAAATTTTTCTATTTTTATTTTTAAAGAAAAATGCAATAATAAATTTTTTAGGGACTTTTTAGATATAGTTGTAAAGTTTAAATAGTAAAAAAGGTATGACCTATCATTGATCTTTTTTTTAAAGACCGACCGGCCTTTTGACCATCTCTACCCTACCATGTGGATTACAAAAATCCTTTAAATTATGAAGTTGAAAAAGTAAAAAGTTTGAGCATTTAAGACGTAGATTAGAATCGTCGAGGTGAAATGATTAAATCGAAGATGGAAGAATAATTAAATTAAACTTTCACAACTCACAAGTTTAAATTTTCAAACCTCACTCTCGAGTAGGGTTTCCAGCGAAATTGGGAAATCGTTTTAACGAAAATTTCGCACTTTTTTGCGTTTTATTTGAAAAGAAAATGTTTGCGAAAAAAGATTTCGCAAAAAAATCATTTTCGCAAAAAAGAACTAAACTTCGTGAAAAAAATGTGAAATACAAAAGAAAATTTTCGCGAAAGTTTTCGTTCGGTGGAAACCCTACTCTCGAGGTTGAAAGGTAGATAATCTGTCTAGAAAATGCCACGGTTATTCAGATGCTTCTCTTTATTTAAATGTTATGGTTTAACTGACTGTCCTGTACGTGGGTAGTAAATGTTTCTCTAGAACATTTTTCCAAGTTTCAATTTCCCGAATAAAAATTTTGCAAAAAACTCTTATTTAAAAAAAAAAAAAATATGGCTCAAAAAAATGTATTATGTATCTTGTTTTGCACATATTTTGGTTGCAGCATCTTTTTAACTTATATCTATCTTAAAGAATTTTTAGGATGTTTTCAGCATCTTTTTCAAATAATTTTTACGAAAATGCCTAAGTGAGTAAATTTAGTTATTTACAACTACTTTACATACAGGGAAGTTAAGTGAATTTAACTTTACTAAAGGGTTACCAAGACCAAGGCAAAAACCCGTGGTTAAGTAAAAATTTTAATTTCCCGCAAAAGTAGTTGTACACAGTTTTATCATCTTTTGAAATAAAAATGCGCGATTTTTTAATGAAAATTTCGCAGAGCGAGTAGTTATTTATCTCAATGTTAAGAGAATCATGGGTGGGTAATTTTGGCCAAAAGGCGGGAAAAGACATAGTTTTTAAAAAAATAATCAATTTAAAACAAATAAATTAAAGTGTTTACAGTTAAGAATGAAAGAGCATTCCAAAATTTTGAGAACATTTGCTTTTAATTCTAATATAATTTGTTCTTCTGCTTTAAAAATATAATTAATTATTGTTTTTCGATGATTAACTCACAAGGTACAGTGAGAACCTTTAAACTGTGGATTAGGAAGACGACATACTGAAATGTATTTAATGTTGTATCTAAGAAAATAGTTTTACTACAGTCGTCGTCGTATATATCAATACAATGAAGACGACTTTCTATTTCAATTTTGACTTCTACCAAACAGCTTCTCTTTGTTTACTTGTAAACATATATTTTGAAAAATCCTTGTTAGGGTAAAAAGTCGTCTGTCGTCTTTATTGTATTGATATAATCCCTGAGAACTGTAACTTGTAGCTTATTAAATTAAAAATTAAGTTAAAGGGATAAGTTCACATTGCACAATTACTGTGTATAATGTTCATTGGACTATTTAAAGTCATAACCTGAGTCAAAGTCTTTTCCTTTCCCAGAGTTTTCTGGTTCTCAATTTAAATAAATAAGAAATTAAGATCTATATCTAGATTGATAAAAACATTGATATGAGGAGTTACAAAAAACTTAATAAAAGGAAAAAATATTTTTAGTTTTCAAACAAACATAATTTTTGAATATTATATTAAAAAAATTAAATTAAGAAACAAATTTAAAAAGATATTGCTGATTTATATTTACAGTGTAATAGGATTGTTAAAAACCTTGATATGAGAAGTTGCGTGAAAATAAATAATTTAGAAGTGAAATGATTCACCTCAACTGTTGTGCTATTGTTGTCCAATAAAAACTGTATCTGTCTGGAAAAATAGAAAAAATGGAAATATATAAATAATGAAAAAAATAATACAAAAACTGAAAAATATTTGAAAAATTATTCCTTTTTTTATGTCACCAAATACCTGTATATTCGGGGGTTTGAGGCCATTTTCAGCAACAATCTTTAAAAACAATCTTTAAAAACAATCTTTAAAAACAATCTTTAAAAATAGTTTTAAAAAAATGTAATTAAATTGCTTAACCTAATCGGAGTAATCCACTGGTATACACTGGTCTTGTCTAATTTCAAAAAGGTAAAAAAATATTTGATTATTTTTGAATTTTATTTTAGCACTTTTTTATGTCTGACTATGCAATGCATAATATTTCTTATTTTTACTTTTTCAAACTTCCTTTGATTGAAGAAATTTTCTGAAGAATTCTGCATTCCTCTTGATGGGCTTTTCCAACCTAAATATTTAAGGAATAAATAACCAAGAACAGAACTGAGCCAGAGGCTAACTCAGGGAGTGGGGTGCTATGGGGACTCAGCCCCACCCCTGGATCAGTTTCCAAGGGGTTTTGGGCCCCAATGGGTTTTGAGCTGACTAAAAAAATGTAAGCCCCCTGAACAAATTACTGAGTACGCATTCGCCTCAAATTCTGATTTTTAAATCTTTGCTTCCTCAGACATAACTTTGGCAGAATTCATCTATATAATAAAGCTTTTGCTCATATTATTTTTTCTCCAAAATTCGATTTTTAAAAAAATTCTAATTTTTTTCTTCAAATTTTGATAATTAATTTTTCTTGTTTTTTTTTTAATTCCAAGGGCAATTCAGCTAGTAGTTAATAATATTAAAGGTTTGAATAAAGAGATTATATAATTAAAGATTGCGGAAAAAAATAGATCTTTTTTGGTTAAAGTAACTGTCGTCGTCATTTTAAGTGAACCTCCAGTTTCATTGGGGCACACACTTTTAGCAACAGACCCTTTATCTGATTAAAAATGTGAAAGATATAGTCGTTTTTCCGGATTGAAAAGTGCTTAATTCTGAAAACTGCTCTATTGTTTATGTGGCAAAAACAATGCGAGTAATTTTTAAAACAACAAATGAAAATTAACAGTTTTGAGATACAAAAACATGGATTATATGAAAAAATTTATTGTAAGGGTACCATTTTGTGCTTCGGATATGTCATTTATCAATGAAGGGTCATTTAAAATTACGTTTACAGACCATTGGTGTCCAGTTTAAGTAGAATCCCTTTGATGATGTGCCTTCAGGTTCGTTTTTGGGTCGTTTTTTCTTTATATTTTCTTTCAAGGTCAACATTTAGCATAGTGTAATTTAAACAAATGTATTTTGAATTCTTTAATTTTAAATATTATTTTTCCTTACACCTAGTCAAACTTAAGCCCTAGCAAAAGTTAAATGCAAAAAAAACGACCAAAAACGAATGTGTCGAATCGATCGTTTTTCTGATCGTTTTTGCACTTTTTTTAGGTCAAAGATACGGCCAAGTTTAATAAAATAAAAGTTTAACTTTTGAAATCTTCAAAGTTTTATTATTTTTTCTCAAAAAACAATCTAGAACGATAAACAACACTATTAACAGGCCAAACGTTTGCGTCAAAGATTTCTTTGATATAATCTCATTAAACATATTGATAGAAATTTTAGGATTTTAAATCTATAATACTTTCAGAAATAACTACAAAATTGGAAAACATCTATAGTTTTTTTTTCAAAATTTATATACTTAAAAATGTGAAGAGTTAGATACATATTTATTAATTCAGAATTAAATAATTAAATAATTACAAAGGAAATGTATAGTTATCATATATATATAATAAAAATTTCTTCATATTTCGAATATTTTTGCATTCTCTCTCAAAAAAGGCAAAAGTTTTCTGTCCAAAAATTACTCGATTTCCAGCCATCGGAGGTGTTTGATACATCAGAGGTCTTCGACGTCTTTGCCGATTTGGCAGGTGGTCGATTTGATAATCTTGTGGATAGGTTAGGGTTTTGGGAGACATTTTGCACCCTCCAATGTTTAGCTGTCAGACCATCTTTTTGAGGAACATATTGTGGGTTTGAAGGGGTGTAGGATGAGGGTGAAGTTAGGGGGGATATTGATGGGGGACTAGGGGGCGAACCAAATGGGGATACCGACGACGATTTGGTGGGCGAAGTAGAGGGCGAAAATCGCTCTGGATAAAAAGAATATTCGCCCAAGGCGACCTCTATACCGAATCCCGGCTGTGTGGCGAATGTTGGGAGCGAAGAGACATTATTGTTCTCCATGTTATGAATTATAGAAGGGTTAACGTTGTACTAATTACAATACAGTTTCACTCTGAACTTTATAGATGAACTTTAGCGGTCAGATATTTTTAATTGACGCATTATACCAATAACAATGTACGCATCAACATTTGGGATAACAACAACAAATGACCCGTTTGGGCCTTCTCAAAATCTGTTGCGATGTGAACAGATCTGATAGCAAGTGGAAGGGGTGGGGGGTAAAAGGGGAGGGTTACCCTCCCCCCTCCTTACCATGAAGATAAGAAATGATAAACTTGTAATTCCATGAATATAGCAGCTGCAAACTTTGAATTCAAAATTTGAATTGATTAACTCTTTAACATACTTCTAGTTGGGAGAGTTGTGCAGAGGGGGGGGGGGAATCTTGTATTTCGAGGAATATTAAAATCATAATTTTGACCTGACAAAGCTCTCCGCAAAGAGGAAAAGAGCATATTCCACAGGAGTAGGGGTTATTCGTCTCTTTGCCACAATCCAGGCACACAGGTCCTCCTTTATTCCGGGGTCCTACCACTAGATAGAAAGATAGATAGATAGATAGAAAGATAGATAGATAGATATATAGATAGATAGATATATAGATAGATATATATATAGATAGATATATAGATAGATAGATAGATAGATAGATATTTAGATAGATAGATAGATAGATAGATAGATAAATATATAGATAAATAGATAGATAGATAGATAGATAGATAGATAGATAGATAGATAGATAGATAGATAGATAGATAAATATATAGATAAATAGATCTATACAATAAAACAAGACAAAAGTGTATATGTTGCCTATAGCCGGCTGGACCGATTAGGCTGAATTTTTTTGTGGATGCTATGGGGTGGCCGGGAGTATTATAGGCTAAATAAATTCGTAATCATTTTTTTCAAATTTTTTATTTAAATATTTTTTAAAATTTTTTTTCCTCGGGCAACGCCGGGCCCTTCAGCTAGTAGATCATAAAGGTACAAGGTCAAAAAGCCACAAGGTCACAATGACACAAGGTCACAATGACACAAGGTCACAATGACACAAGGTCACAATGACACAAGGTCACAATGACACAAGGTCACAATGACACTAGGTCACAATGACACTAGGTCACAATGACACTAGGTCACAATGACACAAGGTCACAACCACAAAAGGTCACAAAGACACAAGGTCACAATGACACAAGGTCACGAAGACACAAGGTCCCAAAGAAACGAGGTCACAAAGACACAAGGTGACAAAGACACAAGGTCACACTGACACAAGGTCACAAAGACACAAGGTCACAATGACACAAGTTTAAAATGAACAAAGATTACAAAGACACAAGGTCACAATGACGCAAGGTCACAATGACACAAGGTCACAAAGACACGAAGTCACAATAACACAAGGTCACAAAGACACAAGGTCACAAAGACACATGGTCACAATGACACAAAGTCACAAAGACACAAGGTCAAAAAAGATGTCAAGTTGGTTGCAAACCAAAAATATAACAAATGTGGCTCGGTTGCACTGACCTACTGCAGTATCGAAGAGTATAAGTTCTAGTGCTGATATATCCCTTGAAGCGATCATACATTTTCCTTTCCCTTTCATCAACTTTATATTTACTAAACAATACCTTAATAGGGCTATAAGACAATTTTATTATTATTATTACAACTAGACATAATTCAAATTGACCTATATCTACGATATCTACGTCATCCATGATATGAAAGAAGGGTACTATTCTGGGAACAGGAATATAGGGAAAGGAAATGGCGCTGGTCCGGCAAGAGAAAGCCAGTCGCACTGCTTTGCAGACCAGTACAGTAAACTTACAAACACTCTTCTGGCACAGACACACAACATGACTACAGTCAAGGAAATTGTAGAACAATGTCGTCGATTATAATTAAACTTGAATAACGAGTAGATTATTGTAAACTTTAATCAAATTATATTCTTTGCATGAAAATTTGGCTTTACAGTGTTGACTTAAACATGTAAATAATATATTACATGTATATTAAACTTATTTCTGAGTAAACAATTAACAATAAACAAATGTACTCTCCTAGGCTGTACAAATACCGAGATTCTTACGTACTGTATAAACCTACAGTACACACCTTCGGTACTTTAAACTGACACACACTCTTTTGGTACAGACACACAAACATGACGTTTCCGCCCCCTGGTACTATTGTGCATTCAGTTATATTCTAACGTCTCAATTAAAGTATAAGCAATAAACCAAATCCCAAAATAATTAATTTAAAAAAAAATTTAAATAAAAAAGTTACTGACGTCTAAACAATAATTTTTTTTGTAAACACAAATTTGTTCCTGCCTGCACGCCATACAATTCTAAAAATAAATAATGTGGATTTAATGGGAATGTTTGCAAAAATTGGAGAATTTGTTTATCAGCCCTGTCACATAGCTCTAGCCAGCCTATATTTTTACATAAATTGTGCCGGGTCAACTGCACACTGGGTACATTAGGACCGACCAGTACCAGTATACCTTGTACCGGTTTGGATTATCCAACCTTTAGACTGGTTTGCTGTACCGGAATATTTAAAGACTGGACTGGGGGTTTAAAAGTTATTTTTGAGGTGCATGCGCAATCTGTGTACATTAGAATATTCAAGCTGGGCCAATCTTTGCGGTCCTTGTTTTGACTGTACCGCCAATTTACAATTACTAGAGCGGCCGACCTGGGGGGTGTTTTCTTAAAAGCTAGAAACATGAAAAGAAATAAAAATTATAGCAAAGATAGCCTGTAAAACATGAACTGTATATATATGCATTCAGTCATACTGTCCAGTCTGGACTAGTCAGTGTATGGTCGACCCACCACGTTTTATGCAATAGATGTAGCCTGGCAAGATCACAGTGAAATTTATGTTCAACATACATGCTTTTATCTATTTCATTTATATATTTCTATATAAATGTTGGCTATTAGAATGTGTCCAAATATTTGATTTTAATTTGAATTAAAATATTTAATAAAAATGAATGTCACCTGAAGGGAAAACAATAGTTTTGCTGCCGATGGTAAATATAGTGTTCTCTGGAACAGTAGTGCACCCTGGATAATAATAATAATGATGATATTAACAGTAATATTAATAATAATAATGAAAATAATAATAAATAGTAATGATAATAATAATGATAATAATAATGATAATAATAGTTGTGGAAAAAGTAGAAGAGAGAGATTAGGAGATTTGTAGGAAGAAGGGTATAGGGGATTGCTACCTGTGTTCCTTCATTTTATACTGTTTCCCAGATAGGGGAATTAAGGAAAACCTATAACTGCACCCTTTATGCAAAATGGGGAGTTGTGAGCCCTGAAAGCTCTGTTAAGAGGAATCTTCTATAGCAGTCCAGTCCTCACATCTGGTATCGTTGTGCATGGCTTGTATATCTATGAGGGGTTAAACTCCTTCTTTCAGTGCACCAAGCTAAGGATCTATGTACAATTCTTGCTTCCCCTGTAGGATTCAAGATGTGTAACTAAACTCAGCGCTATAATTCTGGGAACACATAGGATAGGTCCCCCCTGCTTGGAAGCAGTCAGGCAACTGGATAAGGAACCCTAGTTAAATGCCACAGACTCCAAGAAAGAAAAGTTCTGTGATTACCTTGTTGAACTGTGGACTGTGAACTGTGTCAGAAGAAACAGCAACAGTACAGCAAACCAGAGTGTACAGAATACCAGAATTTACAGGATACCAGAATGAACAAGATTGTAACAGTGGAAATTTTAGATTGTAACCTAGAGTACCTAGTGAAGAATCAAATAGTAGAGTACAAGCTATGAAGGGAACAGGAAAAGCGAGTAGAAAATGTTGTATTCAGGACTGAACCAGAAAAGGGTGAACAGTCCCTTAGATACAATGAGAAATCGGAGAGACCAGATTGATTCAGTACAGCCTGAACCTTAGAAGAGTAGACACGCATATAAAGCCGTCCGTCTACCACTAACGTTCCGGGCCCTGTACAACATACAGCATACAGGACTCTATCCTACAGCGAGCTTCCATGAAGATGAGTAGCAAGATTAGATGATGATAAACCCTGCATACCAAGTGACACCTGATAATTGATATGACAAAGATGCAGCTAAGGATGCAGCTAAGGATGCAGCTGAAGATGTAGCTGAAGATGCAGCTAAAGATGCAGCCAAAGATGTAGAGGATAAGGATGCAGCGGAAGATAAGAGTGTCCCAAGCTTGGAGACTGACCTCTCATCATATAACGACCTGATCAACATCCCTGAGACTGAAGGAAGGAGTTCTATCTTGAGAGATCATGTGGATCATGAGGATCAAGACTGTCCTCAGCCCTTTGATGAACGGGCACTTACTCCACCTCATCTCCCTAGTATCTGGGATCCTCCTGGACGTCATGGAGCCCAGTTAAATGAGTTCCTGCATTCAACCCGGAAGAAGATATTAGACTGTTTGTTCGTGCAGGTTCTGAGGATGAAGAGATATCTGGAGGAACAATGGAGATTGAACTTGATCCCTGAGTATGATGTATTATTAAAGGGTTTATCCCTTCTTAAGATGATGGATCCAAGATTGATAGGATTGCAGAGATCTCAAGAGATCCTGCTCATGATCCTAAATAGGATCATTATTATTAGGGATCAGGTTAGTGAACTTAACAAATAAAAGGATCATAACCGATTGTTAATCTGTTAAGTAATCGTTATAATATATTTATATGTTCATTTATATGATATGTAAAAATAAATGTATGTGCAATGCCTAATTGTTTATTAAAAAGGGTATAATCAGGGTGCAAAGATAATTGACCATATAAGGGACAGATCCAAAATAAGGAGATGACCTGATGTATGATCTTATCATGATTGCAAGTTTATGAGTTATGATTTATTGCATCAATTGATTTTTCAGAAAATTCGACAAAAACTTCAAACCAAGGAATTGGAAGCCATAAGGTAACGATGGAAACAAATGGAGTTGCAAGAGCAGACAAAAAAGAAGTTTTTGCACAAAAACAAAAAAAAATTGTTGAAAGAGTTGCAAAAATTGAAAAAGATTGACAGAGCGGAAACAATGTTGGAGCAGAATGAGAAAATGGATGAGACACAATGGAACATCTACAGAAAGTAGTTACAGATGGGAGAGCAACCCTGATATATCATCATAGTTTATCATAAAAAGGAAACAACCCACTCTGAGAAAAAGAACCAGTGGATTCAACCCACCTTGAGAAGAATAACCAGTGGATTCAATCATCCATGAGAAACAGAACCAGATATAAGTTATGGGCAGGGAAAATATAATGCTAATTAAATAACACTTATTATTATTGTAGCAAGAATTTTGTTGCGAGAGCTCCCAAATATAGTGGAAACCCAGAGAAAGTTTCGAATGTTGCAAGAATTTGGAAACTCATATGATTAACTGTAAATGGGAAACGATCCTGCATATGAAGAGGTGAAACAGGAGTGTTTTTCACAGAAATGTTGAAAAGGTTCTCACAAGAAAAATATGAGGAAGGCCAGAAACAGGAATACCTAGACAGGAAACAGGAAAGAGGTGAAGATACCAGAGAATATTATACTGACAAGAGGAAGTTATAGATACAAGCATATGCTCCAGACAAAAGGAACATGGTAGAATTCAAGGATGAAATGCTCATGGGACTGTACAATATAGAGTTGAAGAAAACATGCCTGTTTTTTATGCCTGAAGAGTTTAAGCATGAAAACAAGATCAAGACAGTACTAGACAGCCAGCTAAAGACTACATATACAGATAGTATTGAAACAGTGAAAAACAGCAAGTGAGTTGATGAGATGTGGGAAATAGGAAATAATAACAGGGAATCAGTTTCATGAGATAATCTGAGAAAAGAAGAACAGGTATCACATGGTTGTAGGAATAAGAGGCAAGACACTGGATGAACAACAGAACTATAGAGGGGGAAATGGTGAATCCAGGAAGGATATTCAAAAGGTAACCAGGAAGATAGCATCATAAAGGGGTTTTTCAGTGAAGAAGAGTTCTAACACCGGAGGTCTGGAAACCCTGGAATTAAATGATGTTAATTAGGTGAAAAATAATTATACTGATCTAAGAAACATTTCCGATAGTTTAAATGTCAAAACTTCCCAGCCTAAGTTACCAGGAAACAGAAGCATCCTGGCATACTACAGAGAAAAGTGATGAATTGGAAAGAGATCCTGAAGTTAAACAAAATGAACTGCATGGATGACAGAGAAAAAGATTGATTATATCCAGAAAAGATGTCCATGTTGACATAGATGACGTTGTAGACAGGGGTTACATATACAAGGAGAAGGCAGCTGGGACAGAAGTAAAGGAACTTAGCAGATTTATAGAAGAACTAGATGTTAAAAGTGATCAAGGAATAAAATCAAATAGACCTAAACCTGGATAGGGACTCAGAGACAGAGATCAAGATAAAAGAAGAGTTAATGATAGGAGAAAGCAATAAAAGAAAGCCAACACAAGCCTGCAGTGAAACAAGATGGAAAAATAAAGAATAAGAGAGCTGCTCTAAGAGAAGTGTCTCCTGCATCAAGATCATCTCTTTCTTCTGCTGAACTTACATCAGGTCTCTCTGGTCTGATTCAGAATCTCCTTTTATGAAAACCTTCTGGTCTCTCAATTATTTCTGGAGATCAGTAAACTCAGTCCTCGTATATCCTCATGATCTATTTTTCTCCTGGAGTCATGGGTCTTGGTGGATAATCTAACTGCTTTGGATCACCAGCAACTCTATGCATAGAATCATCTGGAAAAAATAGAGCAGCATCTGATATGTTCTGATCTGTGGTGGGACTGGCTGATGGAATCACTATTAGACCAGCTCCAGAAACCAATGAAGACAAATTCCTTAGTGATGCTGAGGATTCTGAGGATGCATATTCATGTATAATGAAGGGAGAGGAGGCTGGTGGCCTTCATTGGTCTCTGGCAGGCATGTTGAAGATCCATCTATCTGATAGCGGTATAAAGTTGCATGTCCCTTAGCCTTCATTGTACAAACGGAGTAATCTCTATACAGTCTTTACGGTTCGAGGGGTGCACTGCTTCAATCTCTAGATCCTATATTCTGCTATGAAAAGGGAGGAGGAGTTTAGACTAAAGTAACCATGCTATAAATATTACAGTAATAATAATATTATTATGATAATATTGATGATGGAAATAATACAATAAAAAATATAAACTAAAATTTCAACGATTATAACAAAAATAATAATGATACTTTTGGCAACTTGTACAGCTTGTAGTACTCTCTCTACCACAGAGAAAACAATGTCCTTTTCTCTCTCTGGACTTACTCTGGGGACAGATCTTCAAAATAAGAAAACAATCCCAATTTTTATAAATGTTGAATTTTAAAAACTCATATATTTTCTATGTACTTAAATATTTTGCTTGTTGCATGTATCTAATAAACATTTTTGTGACAGTGCTAAGCGCCATTTAAGCCTTATTATATTTCAATATTTTGTTCATGATCCCTTAGACTTTGCTTTAGTGCTCATTTTTCTCTGAAATTAGCATTATTTTTTTAACCAATAATATTATATTGTTCTAGTAAAATCAGTTACACATTTAACTTTTTTTGTATATAAAAACTTTATAAAAAAGGGAATTGAACTTTCAAAACCTCCAAAAAATAGAGGTTGTGGGAATATATCCCCAATATCAAAAACAGGAAAAAGAAAGTTACTTACTTATTTTGAACATTTTTAATATAACTGCAGTTTACTTTTGCTTTACAAAATCATCGTTGTTTTCTTAGATTGTTTTGCAAATATGCCATGTGTTAGAGTTTAAACATTGGTTCTGCTTGATGTAAAAATCTACAATTACGAGGAATGAATAACTACTAAAAAGTGTCTTTTGTTATTTATTTATCATTGACTCTATATTATTTTTATTGTTCTATTGGACGCTTTAAATTAATGTAAATTAAGCACTGTAATTTCTCTGTCATACAGATTAACCAAGAACTTGGAAGACATTTAAAGAATTTAAAAAATGTCGTCTTGACAATTTTTAAATGGAATTTAAACTATTAGACCTTAATCAAAATAAATAAATAGCCATGTAATATGCGGGACCAGTTTATAGAGCTCAATATTATTTTATTTAAAAAAACTAAATATCTGCATCAATATGTTTAGAAGACGACATTTCATAACTTCGTTTGATGCCTTCGAAGATTGGGTTCAACACAGTTTATAGAGTGTTAATGTACGCAAATCTTTTACCAGGAACACTCACACTAGATCTATTCCATAGACAAAGATAGACACTCAGTCAACTCATCTCAAGAAACCTTGATTCCAAGAGTAAGTGGGGTTCATACAGTACACATACTGCAGGGACTGCAGTTTTTTTAAAACTTCGATTTTGGCATATATTTAGATCATATACAGGGTGTCCCACGAAACATGACAGTTGGTAAATAGTTTAGAATGTCTTCTTCCATAATTTCCATAAGTTGTTTAATACCAAAGACAATGATAAAAATATTATAGGAGTCATATTATAGTAAAATTAACTTGAGCAACAGATTTTTTAAACAAAATGAACTACGAACAGTGGTGTATGGAAGACGACATTCAAAACTATTTACTTACAGTCATGTTTCATGGACACCCTGTATTTTGCTGGCGTACAAAACAATGCTAAATGATCTGAGAGATAGATAGATATTTACATAGGAAGCACTGAGAGATATTTTCCCCCTAAAATGTAAATAAAAAATAAGAAAGTAAAAATAGGAAGCACTGGAAAAATAACTTGAGTTTAAGAATACGTACAAAAACACCACCAATATTTCTAAAATTTTACAGTTTTGCCCAGTATGTCTGTTGCACTCTCTACACTGAACCTCTGTAAATATCTACTCTATGATATATGCTGACCGCTATGTGCTATAATCAGCTTTTACGAGTCAGAAACTCCTTATATGTTATTTGTCAGTAAACATTTGTTTAAGTCTACAGTCAAGCTATCTGGGCCACACAGTAGAAAACTAATCATTTCATATGAATATCTCTCATGTCTATGAACAGTGTACACTGAAGATGTATGTCACCCAGATGACCCGCATCTATAGAAGTTTGAGAGAAAGCTAAAGAGAAAGTTGGGAGAAAGCAGGTTAAAAGCAGAAAGAAAGGGAATAAATGAAAGGAAAGTTACATTTTTCAATTTCAATAATTTTTTTAAAATTTTTGTTTTTCTGCTAAAGAAATAATATTGATTTAATTTTTAGATTATGCTATTTTCTAGATTATTCTAGATTATTCTATTGTTTCTAGATTAGTCTAACTTCTAGATTATTCTAGTTTCTAGATTATTCTAGTTTCTTGATTATTCTAGTTTCTAGATTATTCTAGGTTCTAGATTATTCTAGTTTCTAGATTATTTTAGTTTCTAGATTATTCTAGTTTCTAGATTATTCTAGTTTCTAGATTATTCTAGCTTCAAGATTATTCTAGTTTCTAGATTATTCTAGTTTTTAGATAATTCTAGTTTCTAGATTATTTTAGCTTCTAGATTGCTCTAGTTTCTAAATTATTCTAGTTTCTAGATTATTCAAGATTCTATATTATTCTAGTTTCTAGATTATTCTAGTCTCTAGGTTATTCTAGTTTCTAAATTATTCAAGTTTCTAGATGATTCTAGTGTCTAGAATATGCTAGATTATTCTAGTTTCTAGATTATTCTACTTTCTAAATTATTCTAGTTTCTAGATTATTCTAGTTTCTAGATTATTCTAGTTTCTAGATTATTCCAGTTTCTAGATTATTCTAGATTTTTAAAGTTTCTAGATTATTCTAGTTTCTAAATTATTCAAGTTTCTAGATCATTCTAGTTTCTAGATTATGCTATTTTCTAGATTATTCTAGTTTCCAGATTATTCTAGTTTCTAGATTATTATAGTTTCTAGATTATTCTAGTTTCTAGATTATTCTAGCTTCTAGATGATTCTAGTTTCTAGATTATTCTAGATTATTCCAGTTTCTAGATTACTCTTGTTTCTATTCTATTTTCTAGATGTTTATAGATTTTGTGTTTTTGTTACTTTGATAATTTTCCTGATTTGGATAATTTTCTCAGAACTAAATCAATATCTCGATAATATTGGAGGAAGGAAGGATAGATATTTAGGTTGCTAGGAGATAGATAAATAAGAAACAAGATAGATAGATAGATAGAAAAATAAAAGATAGAGAGATAGATGAATAAATTAAAGATAGATAGATGTAGTAAATGCCGTACTCGTAAAACTGCTTCCAAATCTGTATCAATCCAGGTACTGCTCGTCAGCTACCAATGTCAACATGGACACACACTCAGCTATCAATGTCAACAGGGACACAACTTATTAAGCGATCAATGCCAAACCTAAGGGTACAATCTTGTCAGCTATCAATGTCAACACGGACACAAGCAAAGCTAAAAATGTCAACACGGACACAAGCTCTTAATCAATCAATGCCAAACCCATGGGCACGATCTTCTCATCTTCAATGTCATCACGGACACAAACCCAGCTATAAATGTCAACAAGGACACAAGCTCTCAATCGATTAATGACAAACCTATGGGCATGATCTTGTCAGCTATCAATGTCAACACAAGCTCTTAAGCGATCATAGACAAACCAATGGGTAATATCTTCTCAGCTATCAATGTCAACACGGAAACAAGCAAAGCTAAAAATGTCAACACGGACACAAGCTCTTAATCAATCAATGCCAAACCCATGGGCACGATCTTCTCATCTATCAATGTCATCACGGACACAAACCCAGCTATAAATGTCAACAAGGACACAAGCTCTCAATCGATCAATGACAAACAAATGGGCATGATTTCAGCCTTTTTGTTTCAAGGATTGTTTCAAAATTACTCTTATCATGTAATAATACATCATGCTCTTTAATATACATATTTACAAATTCAGCCCGGATATATATAAGCATAGTTAAGCCAGTCACTTTCGTAGTTATAAGTTGATCACAATACAGTTTTACAGACGTACAATAGAGGCTAGGCTTATCGTATTACAAGTTGTGTGTAATTAATTATAAGTGCATTTAGATTTACAGACAAATGTTAACAAATCTGGGGAGAGCTGTATTTATTACATTATATAGATAAATAAAAAGCGAGATAGACAGATGTTAAAAAACTATAGAGAGATAGATAGATAAATAAAAGATAGAGAGATAGATAGTTAAATAAAAGATAGATAAATAGATATAAAAGTAAAAGATAGATAGAAAGATAGAAAAACAAAATATAGATAGATAGATAGAAAAATAAAGATAGATAGATAGAAAGAAAAATAAAATACAGATAGATAGATAGAAAAATAAAAGATAGATAGATTGTCAATGCCATTTTGGTAACTAGTCTCAAATTGTAGTTAGAATTATAAACTCTATATAAATAATAAAATATTTATTTTCTAAGGTAGATAGATAGATAGATAGAAAAATAAAAGATAGATAGATTGTCAATGCCATTTTGGTAACTAGTCTCAAATTGTAGTTAGAATTGTAAACTCTATATAAATAATAAAATATTTATTTTCTAATGTGTATTTTCAAAATTTGGTTCAGTTATATTTTACTTTTATAATTCTTTGATTTTTGTAATTTTAGGAAGTGAATTCTAAAATCAGCTGATTTATAAAAATATATTCCAGTTGGGGTATTTAGGAGAGGGAGGGGGGGTATCTTCCCCCACTCGGATGTTTTGCTTTTACAGCTGAGATAGGGGAGTGATATAAAAGTTCAACTTTTCAAAAACTACCGATTTTTGAAAATTTAGAGATCCAACTTAGAGATTTTAAAATTTTTCAAAAACTACGCAGAAAAATATACAAATGAAATGTTTGGGCAAATTTTAACCTTGTGACACTTTTAGGTCATGGAGATAAAACAAAGAGAAGGGGAGTGGACCGCCCCCCCAAATCCCCACAACCGATTTTATAGGGTTAATTAATTTACAATCTGTTTTAAAGAAAAGTGGTTTTAAAATAATCATCTTCCTTAAACAAAATATAGTCAGATTACCATGAGTAAGACTATCGTTATCAGGATCAAGTGCTAAAAAATACCTGAAAAATACCTGAAAATTACCTAAAAAATACTTTAAAAATACCTGAAAAATAACTGAAAAATACTTTAAAAATACCTGAAAAATACCTAAAAATACCTGAAAAAACCTGAAAAATACCTGAAAAATACCTGCAAAATACCTAGCTGTGCAATTATTTCAGACTAAAATGCCGGTCGCAGCTGGGGCGAGTAGTTCGCTTATGCTTGCTAAACAAAGCAAAAAGACAGGATAGTTTGATAAAAATGTACCATTTATATATTCATTTGTCTATTTTGATGTCTGTCTGTTTTTATCCAACAATCCTCACTGTAACTGAACCGATCAGACAACTTTCATCATGAGTGATGTGACCCTATGAAAAATTTCTTGCCAGTCAGATAAAAAAAATTCAGCTAAAAAAAATTTGGAAATCATTTACTAAAAAGTACGGAAAGCACATAACTGGTTAAAAAATAAAAAATTATAAAGCTTCAAAGTGACTTACGAATTTCTTGGTACAGAAAGAAGGAAAATTGTGGTTTTCAAGTTAGAATAACATTGATTTATTAGAGAAAAGTTTGATGGGTACCATTAAAAGATTATTAAGCACAATAGGTGGCAACAGAGAAATGAACCAATTATACACGACGTCACAAGTGTCAAATAAAACAAAGAAAACGAATTTTTTTACATAAGTTGAAATGTTTTCCAAGATTAAATAAAAAGTTTAAAGACAGAAAATAAAGAACACAAAAAATTGCACTTATTTTAATGTAATATAAGCACTTTATTCTAAAATTATCACTATTATTGATAATTTTGTCGGACACAAAAACTAAGTTGACACTTGTGACGTAAGAATACAGCTGTTATGAGAGTGTACAAATTCTACATTGCCATTTATTGTACTAGAATCTATTTGGGTACCGTTTAAATAGAGGGTAACTTGAAATTACAACATTTAAAAGATTTAAGAATTAAGTTGTTTAATTATTTAATTATTTAATTATTTAATTTTTAAGTCACACTCCCAACCCTCATTATAGACCAACAAATAGTGAAATATAAACATAATATAGATTTTAAAGTCGTCTTCATATTTTAAAATATTCTGGCAACTATTGTGAATTTTAAATATTTTAATTTATTCTTATATGTTAAAATATCAAACTATTTTCAACATGAAGTTTTTATGTTTTCCAATGAACAGAAAAAAGAAAAAAAATTAGCAAACATTTTTCTATGATCCTAAGATCATACAATTTACTCTTTTTGTTTTTTTTCTATTTAGAAATTTGTTTTATTTCATTCAGCATTTCCAACCTGTACTGTGCTTTACTGTATGCACTGTACTATACTGTACTGTACTATACTGTGCTGTACTATACTGTGCTGAACTGTACTTTACTGTACTGTGCAGTTCTGTACTGTACTATACTAAAATGTACTGTACTTTATTTTACTGTACTGTACTGTACTGTACTGTACTATTTTAAACTTTGCTTTTATTTCTCATTTCATGCTATTATTCAATAAAGTTACCGAATATCCCTGTTGTTCTTTTATTTGTGTCAACAACTGTACTGTAACAAAACCATGCATTCATATGAAACAAATACAAAAACAGGAGGAAAACACAAGTCCATGATTTGCCATCATAAATTCCCACCGGGAGGAGATCTTTTTGTTGCGAAGGTAACATTTTCAAAAAGGGATTGGAATTTTGCCACAAATTCTAACGTTATAATCCCTTTGTTTTTGCCACCTGATGTCGAATGCTTTGCATAATTCATACTATAAAATCGGTTGGGTCAGCTGATCTAAGATGTACATTATTAGGCTGCAAAGATATAGGGTTTAATAATTAGAGTTTGTGGCAAGTGTTCAGTTCTTTGTATAATCAATCATTTATTTAAATAATTATGATGTTATTACTAATTATTATAAATGAACATCTCTTACCATGAAGCATTAAACAAGACAAAAAACAAAGAAAAAGGCTGTTTAAAAAAACCGAACACTTCACACTTTTTTCCTTTCAGAAACTTTAGCTTAGTTTTACCTTATGCGTTCCAATCAAATATTTAACATGATTAGCTCAAATCATGCGGCATACTTAAATTATGATATAAAATATGGACATAGATAGATTAACTACCTTAAAACTATCCTCTTAAATCCTTTAAATATCTACCTTAAACGTTTACCGTGCAATAAATACGTAATATGATGTTCTTAATCATGTGATATCAATGACATCGAAAGAATTGAATTACGTCAATGTCTGTCAACTTTGTAACCTAAGCTGTTGAATAAAGTTAGTTGATTGAGACTCTGCTCTCAATTACGTTATCATACGCCTAAGCAAGCTTGGAAGACAGCTTTGGTTCTCTTTAAAACATACGAGCAGAGATCTTTGCTAGTTGATTTAGCATTGAATGGAATATAGCTTGAAAGATAGCTTGGGTTCTTGTTAAATTATATGAGTTGAGATTTGGACTGTGTGTCTGTTAGAACCGGGGAGTTAAGCCTGGTTGAGAAATTGCCTGTGTAGCAATTTCATTGGACCTTGTGTCCTTTAGACCTGGAGAGTTAAGCTTGGTTGAAATAGTGCCTTTGTGGCATTTAAAATCGGAGAGTTGGTCCTGGTTGATCTTGGTAACGAGTAGACCTGGATAGATACGTCTCCAGTAAATTGTTATGGAGTAGGTATTCGCTACAAGATATGGAGGTTTTAAAATATCTGTAAAGGAGGGAAGGGTACAGGATTAATAAATTTAAAATTGGTTCATCTATTTTTCGTGAATTGTCCCTTTAAAGCGAGAAAAAGCATTCTTAGGTTGTTAAATGAGGAGATTTATATTCTCCGATCATTTTTGTTTTATATACCTTGCTCCCACGGTCCTACCACACCGGTAGAATTATAAACCACTTCAAGAACACTGCACAGCCGAAACTTTAAACAGAGATAAACTTTTCGTGATTTCCTTTTTTTAAATATCCGAAAGAAAATACACAATTAAAACAATAACCAGATTTTCAGAAATTTTTAGAAATTTTTACATTAATATTTGACTAAATATTTGGATTCGAAGAATTCTGATCTGATTTGATTTATTGTTAATTTGTAGGTCAACTTTATGTAGAAAAAATCAAAAAGATTTGCTTTTTCCAAACTCTACCAGTATATCTATATATAAATTTGGCTTGTCTGTCCGTTTGTCTGTTTGTTTGTTTGTTTGTATCCAATAAACGTCAAAACGGCTGAACCGATCGGGCCCAAATTTTTTGTGGGACATCACGTGACCACAGGGAAGGTTTATGAAAGAAATTCAATCCAAAAACTACCTAATTTGGAATAAGGGTAAAAAACGGTGATTAAGGCCTAGCTCAAATTTAAAATTGTCCACATTGGATATCAAGATCAAGCGTTTAAGATTAACGATACTCCTCACCAAAGTTTTCTGACTTCAGCACAGGGTTTATTCTTAACATGTTCTATATCCTATTGTACTGAAGGCGTGGGAACCCAGCATTACCCGGATATTGAACTTTCTCTTTGCAAGTCAACCCTTACGACTTAGGATTTTCAAACCAAGTTAAAAACATATTTTTGTGGTTCTACCAAGTTCCACAATCAAATGTGAGGCAAATCGTTATTTATGAATTTGATCGGAAATATATTTTTCAAATCTTATTCTTTTTCAGGTTGTCCCGGAAAGTTGCCAGCGAACAGAAGGAATAAGTAAGTAATTAGTTATACTCCCCTCCCCCCCGTGAGTTAAAAATTATAGTTACATATTGTATAAAGCCCCATAGAAAGTTCAGTATGGTTAAGAACCCCTGGAATGATTCCCAAAGCCAATTTCACTGTTAAGTCCGGTTTATTTTAATAACCGGGCTAGAGCGAGCTGTATAGTGTATAGTACACAATTCACATACAGGCAAAACGGAACGGTACACCAAATGAACCACTCCCTTCTTGGGAAATTCTCGTGATTAAAACATCCAAAGGGGTTGATAGGAATAACAGTGATTCAAAGGTTGCAAGCTCTCAAATAAAAATTGATGAGAATTTTGGTGAGCTACTTTAAAAATTAAAGAGTTAAAATCATGAACATGTCTAGAGATACGTACATACAAGTTTAATTGATTACTTAGGTAATATCAAATCTAGAACTATGTTGGATACATTTAATCAAAATTGAATATCATAGTAAAATTAAATTCTCCGACCTAGCTACAGGGTGTTCTACAATACATCTCAAAACTGTTTGATTAAAAACTTTAATAAAGATCCAATAAGCGATGATTGATTGAGATTAGTATAATCTTACAAATAGTAAAAGCTCACCGGCAATAAGAAATGTGTCAAACAAGGCAAATTTTTCAAAAATTTTGACCTTATAACTTTTTTAATTCAGGTGCTAGGAAGATTTAAAAAAAATGTCAAATAAAGGTCAGAAAAATGTAAACAATTAATTTTTTTAGGTTTTAACATATATGAAGATCTGACCCATGTTTTTACATTAATTTTTCTATGGCTTTTCAAATTGTAGTTTTTAGATCTGTAGCTGTAATAACAAAAAAGTTATTGGCTATTTTAATTTCAAGGTAATGATGTGAGTGCTAGGGCGAAAAAGTTAAATGAAAGGGGGTATAAGCTGAAGCCAAAAAGTTTTTGGAGTTTATCGCAATAGTAATTCTATCCGATGTCTCTGTCTCGACAAAATTGATATAAAACTGTGTCAAAGTTAATATGTACCATAGTAAGGATATAGCAGAAACGCGGGAGGTTGTCCAAAGTACGAATGTTGATTTTTTATATGAATTAAGCGATATAAGAGGTTGTTGACTTTAAAAGTCAATATAATAAAATAAAAAAGATCTAAATGGATATTTCTAACATTTATTTAATAAAAAAAAAAAAGTTTTGAAATAGTTTCCCAAGTGGGGTTAAAATTGGTTGGTTAAAAATGAATAAAGAAACTATAAATTGACAAACATCAGTAGCAACTTCATGTGAGCTATGTAGAACTTCATGTTGGTAGTGCAGATCAACTAGAACTGTAACAACAGGTTTCTGCTCTCTCCAGGCTCTCGTAGGATATATAATCCCCAACAATATTTCCAGGTTCGATTAGTAAACTCTTTAGAGTTGAGATTATCCTCATGTGGAGGAGCGTTAGAACTCTTGGAACATCTTGATGGGCTGGATGTCAGCATCGTCTATATTAACAACATGCAGGAGCCAGGGTAGCTCTCTGAGACTGAGTTGTGATCATCTCAAGAGTTTTTGGCTGACTGAGTACCAGGAGGTGTGGAGGGGTGAGGAGCGAGGGTTACATGTGTGTGCTTCATTGCGGAAATGGATCCTGTGTATACACACATCTTGAGAATAAACATCGGCATTTGAGTCGGTACAATCGTCTTCCTTATGTTTCGAATTTGTGTTAACAGAGGTAGTTAAAAACTTAAAAACTTAAAATTTTGAATGTGTCCATTTTGTGTTGAATTTTAGATTGAAAACCTTGGTGAGAAATATAGCTCCGGACAGAGTCAAGAATTGAGCTGAAAAAAATTTAAGATTTTCGTTAGATTTTTGAGTTAAAAAGTAGAGGTGAAAAAATTTATAAAAAATTAAAAAATCTAAGATTTTTTTAAGGCTACCAAAAAAACCCCAATTTTAACTGGGGAGTGTGTCCATTTCTTGAAGACTTTTCTGGTCATTTCCGGCCATCTCTTCTCATAAACAATACTTCACTGGAACCAGTGATTTCCTTTTTAAGTGTGGTGGACAAAAATTAGACAAATAACTTGTCAAACTAAAAAATTGTTTATGTATGTCAATGTTTCAGAGTAGTTTGATTTACTGTTAGATTAGTTTTTCTAACATGTAATATACGGATTAAATCCACCAACATGGAACGTGGGAGTTCAGAAGTGCATATTGCATAGAAATGAATACTGATGGATATTACTTATAATATATTATGTTTGTTTATAATCTTTGTGAAGAAACAATCTCAAGAACTGACGAGGGTCAACCCAGACCGAAATATATTTTCAATAAATGTGGAACTAACATCTACTTTTTTACTCTACAGAGGTTTGGTCCATCACCATCACTGAATTTTGGATATTACTCTGTATCCACCAGCTTTTAGTTCTAAATTGCTATCATACAGATTGATTGGTATCTGCAAAGCAACTATTTCTACGACATTTAGAGACCTCTTGCGGAGAGATTTCTAACTATTTTTTACTCAGATAAATATATCAAGCATAATGACTTTCTAAACTTAACAAGCAAGAAAAATATCCAACCTTGCCAAGTAGGAAAGGAAAGGAACAACAACTATATTTTAATGAACTATAATTTTCCATATTATATATTCTCCGCTCCCCCTAAGTTGGACACTTGCCAGCTATTCAAACTCCACACAGCTCAGGTTAATTTCTGCTCTCCTAGCACATCCTCAATATGATCCTTCAAAAAAAATCAAACCACCTCTACTTTTTAACTCAAAAATATAACGAAAATCTTAAACTTTTGTTTCAGCTCAATTCTCGACTCCGTCCGAAGCTTTATTTCTCGCCTAGGTTTTCAAACTAAATTTAACACAAATATACCTAATATTGGTCGCGACTCGCGATCAACTCATTTATACCCATGCGCGGGGGTGCACTTTTGGCGAATTTTTTTGTGTGCACCCCCTTTAAAACCGGTATTAAGAAGAAAATAAAGTTTAAAATCTATATTAATCTACATGAAGGCTGACTATTAGTCATCTGACCTTAATTAATTACCAATCATACAATTATAAAATATAGTAGTAAAAGAGAGAAAAATTGATTTTAAATGAAACCCCGCGAAAAAAATATTGTAAATAAGATTAAGGAACAAGAAAGAATTTTTGAGAAATAATCATAAAATGGACAAATTGTGACATTGTCGATTGATAAGAAAAGTAAAAAATCTGAATATCTACGTAAGTTTACTGTTAAATAAATTAGAGCCTGCCTCTGGCTCTAGGGGGCCTAGGGGGTACATGTCTAGGGTGGGCACAGGGGTACCGCCCCCCACTACGCGCCTGTATGTAATGAATCAAGATATCATAACATATATACAGATAATTTTAATTGAGGAATCAATCATTTAACGTACCCACATTGGATATCTAGATCAAACATTCAAGATAAAGATACCTAAGTTTAGAAATATCAATATCTTGATATTAAATATGCTTTAAATTATTTAAGTGGCTTGGCAAATTGGAAAAGACGAAGAAGAGGAAAAAAGACTGGAGAAGGTAATTAATTTACTTCTTTAATTATCTATTTTTAAAATATTTCATATTCTCAATAAGATGTTGATGTAAAAATCAAAATTAGATTATTTGATCTAACAGAGTTCAAAGTTTGAAATATCAAAGGTCTAAGATATCAGGTTGCAGAGATATAGGGATTACAATATCAGAGTTTGTTTCAAACACTCAGTTTCTTATGCCACCATTTTTTTCCCTAAACAATCACATTAATGTTTGTTGACTTGTGAACTTTTGTTCTTCTTTTATTTTAAATTCTATGTTAGCTTCGGAAACTGGAGGAAAAAGAAGAAAAGAAAAGAAAAGAAAGAGAGGAACGTGAAGCAAGAAATGCAGAACGAATGAAGAGTTTTAATAAAAGAGAAGGAAAAAAAGAAAAAGGTAAAAAAATATTGTTTTGTAAATGTTTAATTATACAGGGATAACCAGAAAACTCTGTTAAAGGATGACGACTCTTAGAATAAAGTTAAAAAAGTCCATTGAACATGGCAAAGCAATTGGGCAGTGTAAAAAGCAATTGGGCAGTGTAAAAAGCAATTGAGCAATGTAAAAAGCAATTGGGCAGTGTAAAAAGCAATTGGGCAGTGTAAAAAGCAATTGGGCAGTGTAAAAAGCAATTGGGCAGTGTAAAAAGACCCATTTCACTATATTAGTGATTTAATTAGTGTCTAGTAAACGTTTTGCTTTGTAACAAATCAAATACACTGAGATATAGCTATAATGTCGTCTTCCTAATCTATTATTTTCTGGTTATAACTGTACTTTTTATACAAGTTTCTTGAAATATAGTTACTACACTTATTAATATAATAATGTAGCAATATCTGCTGCAATTCGGATCGATTTTATTTAAAAATCATAAAAATGTAATATTTTGCTTCTTGGTAGAGTGTCTATAGACTTCAAGACACTATAGTGTCTTGAAGTTTCTTGGCATTAGTTGAAATATAAAATATGTAGATGGTTTATTATATAATAAAATATATAAATCCTTCATTTTACAACAAGTATACATAGAATTAATACATATAAAAGCATATATGAACCCATGGGGGGGGGTGACGGAGGTTTTATCCCTTCCTCTTCCCGCTCAAGGGCGGTTTTCAAGGGGGCCGTCCATTATCCCCCCCCTGAGTGAAATTAGGGGGGCCCCCTTTGATTTTTAAAAGTCATTTCACATTTAAACTATAAGTGTTATTTATATATGTTTATAAACAACGAGGTTATAGTATTTAGAGTGATGATGTACGCTAATCCTTTACTAGCTGTACAGGCCATGTACTCCGATTCCAATTATATATATTACATTACAAGGGGGTGATTTCTGAAAATATTTATTTAGGAGAATTTTTTTTACCATTTAACTACTGAAATCCACTACAGCTTTATCGTGTGCAGGATTACATTTTCACAGGAAGACGTACTATTAGACTTTTACAGAGCAATATTTCATCGTTAATAAACGGTTCTAAGAAAACTAAATAAAATTCAAGATACAAAACCTTCCCATACACTGTACTCCGAAAGCGTACTGCATATTTGATGTTTGTACTGTATGATTAGGCCATAATCTCGTAATATCCTTGATAAGTAAACTGAATAGATAAAGATAGATTGCGCATAAGACGACATTTTTCATCTTGAAAGATATAAATGTACAGAGATGTTTTAAAGATATTCCTATTATATATAGATTAACTAGGTCGGTTGTGAACATTGGCTGTTCTTATGTCATTGAGTACTTGTGGTGTACATGAGTTCTGTAGAAAGAAATTTAAGTTAGTTTAGTCCTTCTCATGTCCTTCTTCAGTTCTCGTCAATATGATATTTATGAAATCCATTAAAACACCAAACCACGGCCCGCTTATAGATATGATTCTATCTATCTATCTACACTGAACTCGGCCACAGTACAAATTTTATTTTGGTAATTTTTTCCATGGGCCTACCAGCTGATGTAGCAAACCGGACCCTAGATTTGTTGTGTTTATTTTAGGGGCATGTTTATGTTTTTTTTAATGTTTCGTTTATACAATTTTTTATTTTTTTTTATTCAAAATAGATTATTTTTTGTTTACAAAGAATTAATATAGCTGAAGGAAAGTTCAGGGTCCATAAAGTAGGAAAGTTGTACAGCTGTGTTGATAAACAGTGGGCCCTGTGATGTATGAACATGAGGTACTGCAGTGTAATATCTTGTGAATTAGTACTTGTCAAGATAAAATCTTTTTTTCGTTCCCGAAAAATGACCTAAGAGTAGCATGGGCGAAATTTACAGGCCAACCTTCCTCCTGGAATCAACCCCGCTTATAATTGAAGTACACTTTGACCCCTAGAAGTATGAGTTCGCGGACTGTACAATTCTTGGTGATTTTGCGTACATAAGCTATCTATGATTATTTATTTATCTATGGTAAAATGTCTGAAGTATTCACTTGGGCTAATACACATGAACAGGTAGCTAAGCTCCAGCTCCCCTGTTTTTAACTCTAAAAATAAACTAAAAACTACTTGCAGTCTCCTGCAAGAAAAATTGTATACATATGTATTATTTTTTATATAGCTTTTAGAAAAACTCTAAAAATCCTGCATTATTCTGTTTTTAGGTGCGCATCCACATAGAACGGAAGAGCCAAAACAAGTCGAAGAACCGGTTCTAATGAAGGGTGCTGATAGTCCAATGATACTTTGTGAAAAGTGTAAACAGGATCAGGTTTGGTTTGGTTTTACTTGATTTGAAGGGGTCGGGCGTAGGTTGGCGGAGGGGGGGATAGATAAAACTCCTAAGAATGAGCGAATACCGGATAATATTTCTTTAATTCTCTCTACATTCCACTTATATAGAAGCAAGCTGTCATGGCAAGCTGTCATAGAGAGAGAGAATTAAAGAAATATTATCCGGTATTCGCGCATTCTTAGGAGTCTTATCTATCCCCCCCTCTGCCAACTTACGCCCGACCCCTGATTTGAACTAGAAACTTGAAAAAAATGTCGCAAAGGATTTTTACTTTTTAAGGTCCAAAACAACTGATTAATTTCTAAAAAAGTTCAGGGCACTTTTTAGAAATAGTTTGGTTGTAAATTATTACAAAATAATTTGCGACATTTCATATTTAAGAGAAAATTTAAAAATTTCTCTGCATGTGTCTAGCAAAACATAGCATATGTGCACATAGTAAGAAATAATTTAGTTTTAAACCTTAGCTTAGCAAAAAAGTAGTTTGTGTTTAATTATAAAATATTTATTTTTTAAAAGAGACTTCCTTAAGAAATCTTAAGATTTAGAAAACAATTATCCACCATTTGATTATCCCTGTTTTTGGTCCTTAAATTTTCACAATTAGTACCCCCCCCCNTCCCCCCCCCCCATTATCCTCTAGGGTTGGGGCCTTAAAATTTCCATATTTTACGGTCATTTTGCGGTCAAGCTCAAGATAATTTTGTGTTCGAATTTATAAAATGATTTTCTGGTCGCACATTGTTCAATGTTTACAGAGAAACAGGTTTCACAAAGAAACAATTTGTCAACAAAACCTGAAACTAAACAAATATTAAGTCTAAAAATAGAAAATTCCGGGCTGTATCTTCTCTACAGAAATTTTTTAAGAAATACAGGGGGGAAATTATTGCCACTCTCAGTCTCCCGATTTCAATCATCTTTCAACCCTGTATCTCTTCAAAGGGACTGTTAACATATGTTAAGTTGACAATGCCTGGTTATGCCCTGCAAAGCTTTGTCTGATCAAGTAGGAATTATATCAATGTTTAAATTTTTTAAATAGATTATTTCCGAGTGTGGTTTCACTACCGGAACACACATGGGAATGTCTTAATTAATAAACTTAGAAAACGGCAGTATCTTTCACGATATTGATCAATGGTATCCAACCGAGCATTGTCATCTTTGCACGGAGAGACACTTGATATTACGCTAACAGTCGATCCCTTTAAAAAAATATTAATCCTATATCTTAGTTCCTACTTAATAATGTTTTTGAATATCATTCTAAAAATATTGGTCAGAGGCTGTTAAAAATAAAAAAAATAAAATGTTAATCCTGTCTTTTTTGTAAAATCTATTTAAAGAAATCACGCAATCATGAATTTTATAGTCGGGTCTTGACTCTTTTCTATAAATGAAAACTTATTCTAAACTTTCATAAAACTGTTGCTAATTGTTTTTTGTCCATTAAGAAATAAAAAAAAATCCAGAGCAACGCACTTTACCATTACCAGATCAGAAGAAAACAGGTAACCTTATTTTGCACAATTTTACTATTTAGCTTAAGTTTTACCCTTTACCCTTATCAGGGTTGTCAAAAAATTAAAAACAATTTAGAATATGCACTGCAAATCAGCTGCTATAATTTTTCTAGTCTCAAGCAAAGTTATTCTATAAAAAAAAACACCCCCAAAAGAGATCTCAAAAATAGTTTCTCTCTGGTTGTGTAACCTTTCAACGTATCGGCTGTTTGTAGCTCCAAACTGAGAATTAATGATGTTTCTAATTTCTACACACACTCAAATCTAAATAAAGTTGTAATCTCTGTTTGTCTGTTTATCTGTCCGATTTTAACTCAGGAACCCCTAAACCGATTTGCCTCAAATTTGATTAGTGAACTGGGAAGAAGCACAGGAATGTTCTTAATTTGGTTTTTAGATTCTAAGTTGGGTGGGTGCACTAATTTTAAAATGAAAAATAGCTAACATTTTAATTTACGACCAAGCGCGGGTAAACGACGGAAAAAAATATGAGTAGCTTTGGCAATGCAGCGCGCTGGGTTCTCAAGCTAGTAAGCTAGTAAGTAAAAAGATGATATTACTTCTAAAAATGTGAAATTTCTGTCAAATCACTCAAATCTCAGTATCAGGGAGTACGCTAATTTATCTAGACTTTGCGACCTTGTAACTTCTTAAGTTTGAGATTTACGTCTATGAGTGATTAATTTAAAAAAAAATCTTCTCAAAAATTCTTTAGAATGGAA